AAGTCCCTCCCATCTAACATTTTCACATATACAGGTTATTGTCTTTGACAAAATAGCATCCAGCTTAAACATTCAGTGGTGGTTTGCTCTACTTTCTGTTCAAAAAAAGTATATGCTGCTTCTTCTGTCCTCCTCTTTAAGTTTTTGAGTGGGCAGAGTTATGTTTCGATAACCTCATGCACTCTGGGCTTTGTGGAAATAAGGAGAGTAAGCTAAGCTATATTCGAGCTGCACTTGGACGGTCTTCACATTCATCAGGAATAGTTGCCTTGCCTAAGCAGTACTCATAGTGCTTGAGGGAGGTTTGCTGTCTGACACCGGGAAACCAGGGGAGTGCATCATTAGCTAATGGCAGACGCACCTGTCTGGGTGTCTGATCCACACGTCTGAGAGTTGCTCTGACTGATATATTAGAGAAGATTATATGCGCTAAGAAACAGGTCAACAGGTTCAGCTAAATATTTGAGATAATAATGAACAAACAGACATTAGCCACAGTTAGTCCAAGAGCATTCCACATTTTTCCGGCTCTGAGTTTTGATTTGCTAGTAGGATTTACTGTAGTGTCACGTGGCCTAGCTTTTGGCCCATTTTTACAGCCTATTCTGGCCTAGAACTGTCCACTTATTTATGTCCGGCTGACCGACCAGTGACTAGTCATATTTTTTCATACATTTGGTGTCATCTCTGCAAAATGAAATGACGGTGCTATTGGGTATTTTACTTATTATTTACATATTAATAATTACAAATAATAAAATTTGTCACATGCAAATGCTTTGTTGTCGGAAAGAATATGAATCATGGAGGACACCATTTTTGCTTATTCCTTGGGGAAATCTTATCAAAGCTAAAATGTATTTAGGATATTCTGTCAGTATCCAATAATTAGAAAAAAAAACAATGTTTTGACAACCATATTTATTGACAACCATATAAACATCTGTGAATTTAGATCTGCTAGTAGGACATAGTCCACATTTTGTCATAAAGTCTGGCCAATTTACTATTTTCACTTATTTCACTTAATTGTGGGCAAAGAAATAGAAGTTGGAAACTGCACTGGAAACCTCACTGGATGAGCCTGTGTTGGAAATAATTGACACCACAATATTAGACTGTCTGGGAAAGCATTCATTCAAATACTTGCACAGAAGTGTCAGTTTTTCAATTGATTGTTCATTGATTCCATTCTGCAACTAATGGAAGAAATGGGTGTAGACTTTTTAATAAGTATAGTTGTGAAAGAAAATGTGTGAAGTGAACCTTTAATAGTTTTCTGCATTCTTGAGTAGCGAGGTTTGCTTCTTGAAGGAATCTTTCTTTTGAGCTGGTTCATAGGAAGTAACCGGTTGAGCCGGTTTATTAATCGAACTGAATCGAATTTTAGTTCCGGGTTGATGACGCAAGATGCACAAGTCGAAGTAGCACGTCCGACTCAAAAAGAACCAAATGAGCCGGTTCAACCAATTGTCGAAGTTTGCAGAGGATTACCGAGGAGTCTGATGAGTGAATTGGCAATACTATGCAAGCCTGAGGCATGTACTGGAAATATGCTTGTTATGACTATTGTTATTACTGTAAATAACATTTTATTAAAACCTGCAAAAACCTTTCTGTCAAGAGATGTAAATACATTTTACAATAGTTTATTTTGCATTCAGATTATATTTGTTATATTAAATATATATTTGTGATATTATAAGTTGTTAAGCAAAATCAAGGAGTGTAAAAGACTGGTTTATTCTTTCTATATACTTTAGACATGTAGAACATATCCACGTTTATGCATGTCTGTAATGTATGCTGTTGGTGCGAAACTTAAAAAAAATGGATCCAAGATGTAAGCTACTCAATATTGATCAGTCATATCGACATAAAGGATCCGCAAATGAAACTGTGATCACAAACACGAATGAAAGGCAATAATCAGCAATATGCATTGACACAAATAATTTTTCAATATGCATTGACACAAATTACTTTATTTGATTGTCATAAATGCGTAGTGCCAACATTGCTTGATGACATAAGGAACCGGTTCATTGAAATGAACTGTCCGAAAGAACCAGTTCACGGAAATGAATCGGACTTTACATCACTATTCTTGGGATTTTTGTCTAGATAAAGTATCAAAACAACCAATACACACATTTTTTTAATTTTGGCAAATTTGTTGTGTTCAAGTGCTTTGTTGTCAGAAAAAAATAAGAATCATGGAGACCAGGCTTTCTTTCCTATTTCTTTGGGAAATCTTATTTAAGCCTGAACAGCATGGTTGTCACGATCTCAGTGAATAAAGTACATAGAAAAAGTTCAGATGAGGATGAATTCAAAAATAATAACCGACAGCTCCGGCAGAGAAATTAGGGAATTTAGGGTATGTTTACAAGACAACGATACGCTTAAAATAGAGTTTTAAAAGTTTTTCCTTTGAGTTTTCCATGAAGAGACATTGTCAAAACGATCCCCATTTACAAGGAAAACGCTGTATTCTGCTGCCAGGCCACTAGATGGCGATGAAACACTATAGACTGAACACATGATACACATGTGCATGATGTCATCGTCTTCAGAGATTCGCGATTTTGCTGTTTACACAGAGACCGGTTTCAAAAACGTTTTCAAACGAGTAAACAGCCCCTACATATACACAGATAATGAACTAAAATTACTAGCAGGTGCGATGATTAAATTAATTACCATAGCAACAAATGAGACAAAGAACACAGAAAAATTAAGACTTTCAAACCATAAATCCATGATAGTGAAACTTAACGAACAAAAGACTGAATGTCTCTGACAATATTAGAGTTGACGTAATCACAGAAACCAGTCATCACTCTAGATTTCCAGAAAAGAAAAATGTTTTTGATACTTTTCAATGTGAATTTTTTTTAAGGGCCACCACCAATCAGACAGATACTGTTCAAATTGAAGAAATTCAAAATTTCAACACCACTGTTTCTCTGTCTAGGAGTGGTTGTCCAAACAAGAATCACTCAAAGAGCAAAACATGACATTTTAGGAGGTCACAAAACCTAGAGTAGCATCTAAGGGTTTTAAAGGCCTTTCGGCTAAAGTTTATTAGTGTTCATTAGTCCACCGTCTGGCAGGACAGCACAGAGGTAGCCACAGCTCTCCAAGAACAACATTTCTACCAACCTCAAATGTGCCTAAAACTGTGTGGATGAACAAGAATGTTTTGTGAACCAATAAGTAGATAGATTGGAACTCTGCACTTACCCATCCCGACTGTGAAGCACAGTAGGGGCAGTATAATGGTTTGGAGCATTGGCATCTTCAGGATGTCTTCAGGGTGTCCATAAACAGAAAGTCAGACCCGCAACAAGATAAAGACATTAAAAACTCAAGTAGGTCTGCCACTGAAAGGTTAAAGCAGAAGAAATGTAATGTTTCAGAATGACCAGGTCAAAGTCTCTGAAGTGGATGTGCAGGACCAAGCCACAGTTACTGGAAATGTAGAGCTGCCAGTATTGATAATTTAGTGTAGTAAAATGATGCACAGTAAACTAAAAATGCACAGATTCAGTAAATCACATTGTAACCAGTGGATTCAGTAACTTCTTGACATTTTTGTAACCATCTGTGAACAGACTGTGGATGTTTGACATTTTAACTGATCCAAAAGAATTGCAAAAGGTTAGAGCCAAATGTAGACAAGCTGTTTAACAGTCTATAACAAGCCAAAATATGGTTACATCTCCAGCTCTCTACAACTGTGGCAATGTTCTGTGGAGAGATGTGGCCTGTTGTCCATGAACCTCAGCAAACAAATTAACTGTGCTTGGAGAGCAAGAGTATGTGACCTCTGTTTTCCATCAGTGCTGTGATAAATTTCATCTTTTTTTCTCTTGTGTCAGAAGTTGGAATACCAGGATTTAGGGGCATTTTAAAGCTACTCTCAGATTTGTAATGGAAACAAGCAAAATAAAGACTGACAAGCAAAGCATTTTGCTGCACATCCTTTCCATTCCTGTATTCCTCCCTCTACCATAATATAAGAATGCAAACTTTGTGACCTCATTTGTTTAGGGTTTCTGTGTTAAAGGAGGACAATGTAGCAATAATTTTCAATAAAGCCTAACTCCTCATTTACTTAGCCAAAAGATCCACTGTAGTCTCTGAGACCTCACTTTCCATCTCAACTTTCTTTTCATTTATTCTCATTTATTCATTTTTACACTCTCTCTCTCTCTCTCTCTCTCTCTCTCTCTCTCTCTCTCTCTCTCTCTCTCTCTCTCTCTCTCTCTCTCTCTCTCTCTCTCTCTCTCTCTCTCTCTCTCTCTCTCTCTCTCTCTCTCTCTCTCTCTCTCTCTCTCTCTTCATTCTTTCCCATCCAGCCCCTCCCAGTTACCAAGGGGTTTGGAGCAGATCATCATAATTCATAATCATTCAGGTTATATTATTCCTATTAGATATTACTTCAGTTACACTTTATTTTGATTGTCCATTTTAGACATTGTACTATCTACAAATAGCTTCATGTAGTTGACATTAACTACATGTCAACTAGCAGTCATCGGAGTATTAGTAGACTCTCTTAATATCTGCTAACACTTTATTGTGATGCTCCCAAACAGACATTCTTCTGACTATAAGTAACTTTGCAAGTACATATCAACTTATTCTACTTACCCTAACCTAACAGTCGAGTAAGTTGACATGTTAGTTGAAAAATAATAAGGGTTAGTTGATGTATTAAAGTTGGAGGAGGGTAATTTGCTGCTTATACTGAATGGACCTTAAATTGTGATGCTGTGGTAGGCGTCGTATTCCTATAGGCTGATGTGGATCAGCTGAGAGTCAGCTGATGCAAACTTGACTGATATGACCTGCCAGAACTAAAGTTAAACTTGATTTATTTATTGACTTATTATTATTTATTTTTACTTACATTACAAACTAATTGACTATAAATGTCCATGCCTTGCAAATGGGTTTTCTAAATTTGTTGCTATATGTCCTTCCTACTGTAGGTGGTTATGGGGCTTATGGCGCATATGGTGGTGCTGGAAGATTCTACCCAATGGCTGGAGGTCTGAAACCGGCTAAATCAGGTGCTCTTCCAGTGAATAGTCAGTCAACACATGTGCAGTCAAGTAATTACATATAACCATTAGGCTTTCTCTTTAGGCACTGGGCTACCAGGTGGTCTTCCAGGAGGAGGTCTTCCAGGAGGAGGTCTACCTGGAGGAGGTCTACCTGGAGGTGCCATTCATTCAACAAGTCTATTGATTAATTTGATTTTCTTTGTGGCTAAGTAACACAAACTGCATAGCTCTCTTCTAAGTCTGATTTTCTTGTTTCAGGTGCTGGTGTAAAGCCCCCTAAAGGCGGTAATATATGTCTTTGAGTTTCCATCGTTTTCATTGTACAAACACATTGTAAATTAAACTTCTTTTAGGCAAGCATCTTTAGAGAAGAACTAAAATGGAAAGAGTAGGTGGAGAACTGACCTCATTCTCAGAAGAACCATTCATACAGTACAAACATACAAGTCCCCTTTTAACACATCTTACATATAACTACATATAACACGGCTAAGACTCTTTTCATGGTACTCCAGTTGGCTCGAACTTGAATGAAGGAGACTTAGATCATGAGCCAAATCAACAAACGTGTCCCCTCTGGGACCCCGCTGGTGGTGTTCGTGTAACGAAGGCCAGCACATTACTTCAGCTTGTCCTTGGCACAATCTAAAAGCAGCATGCAATGTCTGTTCCTCTGTGTTTGATATCGGTTGGAAAAGGGTTAAACAAATAAATGAACAGCCTGAAACATCAGCTTCCAGGCACTGAAATCAGATAAGATGACTTGTTTCATGTCAGAGGGACGGAGCATGTGAGGCAAATTAAATCACTGAGGAATCACATGGAATATCTGCTGTCTAGCTTTGCACTCAATGTGTATAATGATGTGACTAAATGTGTGTGTTAATGTTTGTTCAGGGCCAGGTGTAGGAGGAACTGGTACTGGTCTCCCAGGTGCAGTGAATGTATATTTAGCTATTACTGGCATCGTCCTTTGCATGAGTGCATTTGAATGATTATAGCTAGCAGTGATAGTCCAGTCTATGATGGTCTTGCCTTTGTATTGTTTGTTAGGCTTTGGCATTCCTCAGACTGGTGTACAAGGACTGGGCCCTGGTGGGGTTGGACCTGGAGGGAAAGCAGCAAAACCTGGAAAAGCTCCAGTGCCAGGTAAGCGTGGGACTGTGGGACATTTATATAGACCCGCCTATATACATGTAAATATGCACATTATAGATCAGCTTTTCAATCTTGATTTTTGCAGGAGTGGGAGTGCCTGGTCCGTATCAAGGGGGACTTGTTCCTGGACAAGGTTTGTTCTTTTCCTCTGTTTATGTACTGTAATTTGACCACCAGGCCCACAAGGAATCTGCAAACGTTTTTGACATTTTCTGTGCTGATTGTGGGGAACATATGCCGAATTCTGTGAAATGGATCTACACATGGCAAAATATGTTCAACAGAGCTGCAGAAACTACACTTCTAGGCCAGAAACATATTATATGCAAGTATGCAAACCTACAAATTCTTGGCACTCTCAAAAGGGTGATATTGTTACCTTTAAAGTGTGTAATGGATTTTTCAGGTAGCTAGCTAAATACGGTTCCTTTTAACTTGACTTGCTCAGAAAGATTGACCTCCGACCTCAGTGGCTCCTCCATGACAGAAATTGACCTAAAGGAGACAACAGACCACAGAAGACAGTTTATTCTAATGCCCACATAGAAATGGTGCATGAAATGCATATTGTGCGGTTAGAAGCATTGCATTCACATACTTGCATTTATTGGTCCATTATCAAATTAGCCAAGACATCTCATAAACAAATGTGTCGAACTTGAACGATTTCTGCAAACATCTGTGGAGCTTTCTGTGGTCGCAGATTTCGTGCAGGCCACCTATTAAGTTATTTGGATAAAACACCAAATTAAAATTGCACACATGGCCTTAATTTGTTTGATCACTGGGATTTACATGACTACAGGCTTCAATGGACGGGGTGTTCTTCCTGGTGTAGCCACTGGAAATGGACTCAAGCCTAAATCAGGTAAACTCTAAATGAAAATGACATCTGTCATTGCAGTGTGATACTTCTAAAAATAAGCTATATGATATCTATATGACTGACTGAATCTTTCCCATAGCTGCTGGTGGTGCTGGGCAGGGTCTGGTACCAGGTGCTGGTTAGTACATGAGCACACAGCAACCACTATAAATAGAATAATGATATCTGGAAAGTGTGGAAGATGGATTTGTTTGCAAATCTGACAGGATCTACACTAGAAGTTTATTCTGTCTGTCATAGGTGGGCGTGGATATGGTGGACCACTGCAACAAGGAGTTTTTCACGGATACCCTCTGAAATCTCCCAAATCCCCAGGTGAAATTTCTGATTCTTTTAATCAGACACAAATCAGCTCAGCCCAGCTTTACCACCCCTCGAAAAGAAGCATTTGCTGACTGATTGCATTTGTGGTTTTACAGCATTGCAATATGAGGTTGCTAGAAATAAGCAAGAATGTCTTTCATCAAATGCTCTAGATGAAACCCAGCTATATTGGATCACTGCTTAGACTTGCATTGCTATTCATCCATTTATGTAGTAGATTGCTCTCCGGTGCACAGACACGTTGTGTGATTTCTCCTACATGGAGGTTCAACAGTTGAAGAGCTCAATTAATTTGTTTCTCTGGGAAGTGACTCCTCACTTGGGAAAATGCCTTGACAAAGTTCATAGGCATAGTTTTCATAGTCATATCTAAAATATATTTTCGTAAATGTTTCCGTTTAAAGCTTGAAATGAAATGCATATTTTCACGTCTCTCTTATCTGTGAGCTATCAGCCTTAATCAAGGATTAGGAATTCATCCAGTAAAATTAGGAGAAATTGATTGCGGTATTAATATGTGAGCCTCTGGTGGAACATAGCTTTTTCCAAACTTGCATATTTGTTCTGATTAAAACAGGATACAGTGTTGATAAAAATGTGTGGTCAACTTGAACGGTTTAACGCTTCATATGTTGTATATAAGTGAGCTCATACATCAACAGAAATCATTTGGATGCTTCTTTATCATCTTCATTTTTGCAGTTTTATATGTATTATTTAATCTGAATGCACTTTTTGTTCAAACACTGGCCATGTGTTAGTTCATAGCACGCTTTATTGTTGTGGCTAGCTTTGATACATCAAACAACAACATATTTGATAACACAAATCATTTTTGGTATATCTGTAGTATATTTTGATACATATGAAAGTACATTGCCTGTCTCAACAGGTGCTGGTTTGCCCTACACTGGTGGTAAACTTCCATATGGTAGGATACATTAGCAACCTTGAGAACATGCATGTGTAAAATACCTGATGTATGATGTGTATTAGCTTGTGTGCTGATTCTCACCTGGTATACCAAAGGTTATGGTGGCTTTGGTGGAGGTGGTGGACTCCCCGGTGGGAAAGCAGGAGCTGGCTCCAAGCCGGGTTATCCAACAGGGACTGGTGTGTTATGTCAGAGCTATCATATTTGAATCATTGTTATGATCCCCCCCTTTAACGTTAATACTTTAACTTTAATACATCAACTAACCCTTATTATTTTTCAACTACATGTCAACTAAATCTATAGAGTGTTAGGTTAGGGTTAGTAGAATAAGTTGATTTGTACTTGCAAAGTTACTTATAGTCAAAAACTATTTCACAAAATCTTTTAACGTTTAATAACTATTTAACACCTTAAAAGCCTGAAAAAATGGCTTCATTATCTTAAAGGTAGGGTAGGCAGTTTCGGAAAGGCTAGTGATAGCAAGCTAGCTTTGAAAGCATTAGATCCCAGCCTCCCTTCAGAGCGTCTCCAAAGCCACGCCTCCTTCAAAAGACATGAACGCACACATTCAGAGCAGATATGACATCATATTCGGACCGAATGCAATGATTCGCTGAACATTTTTTAGTCCTGAGACTTCCACAGATGATATACATGTTTTAATATTTAGACTACTTCTATTATTGATTGCTATCAGGATGTAAAGAGAGTTTCAATCAGTATAACAAAAATGTTTATACAAAAAATTGTCTACCCTTCTTTTAATATAAAAAATAATTTCTTATTTATTCAAATTTTATGTGAAAAATAACACACACACACACACACAGACACACATGCTATTGACTTCATGATATTCATCCTAGAAGAGTTGCAAAGATACTGAAATCACTATGTTACTTTACATGGAAAAAGTGCATGCGCACACACACACACACACACACACACACACACACACACACACACACACACACACACACACACACAAATGCATGATCAGTGTCTGATCTGCTGTGTCTGTATGCAGGTGTGGGATCTTTAGGAGTCTCTGCTGCACAGGCCAAAGCTGCTAAATATGGTAATACTCATTTATTAAATGCCACATTGCCAAAGCTCTATCCACAGAACACATATATTAAGATTTGCTTCAGATTTTTGTGCATATTTGTGTAATATGAATGTAATTTGAAAAGTTCCCTCTGCAAATTTCTGAAGGTGCTGGAGCTGGTTTGGGTGGGGCTGGAGCTGGAGCTTACCCAGGTGGTGCAGGTGGACTTTACCCAGGGGCAGGAGGTGAAGATGCCTTTTCTTTTGTAATCCCACAAAACTGCAATCTACATTTTCATATTAAAGGAATAGTCCATTCAGAAATGTAAGTCAAGGCACGGCAAATGCATGATCAGTGTCTGATCTGCTGTGTCTGTATGCAGGTGTGGGATCTTTAGGGGTCTCTGCTGCACAGGCCAAAGCAGCTAAATATGGTAATAATCATTATTAAATTATTTTAATAGCCACATGGCCTAAGCTCTATCCACAGAACAAAGATATTAAGATTTTGTGCATATTTGTGTAATGTGAATGTAGTATGAAAAGTTCCCTCTGCAAATTTCTGAAGGTGCTGGAGCTGGTTTGGGTGGGGCTGGAGCTGGAGCTTACCCAGGTGGTGCAGGTGGACTTTACCCAGGGGCAGGAGGTGAAGATGCCTTTTCTTTTGTAATCCCACGAAACTGCAATCTACATGTTCATATTAAAGGAATAGTCCATTCAGAAATGGAAGTCATTTCCTCAAACAGCTACTTCAGTGTTTACATATTTCCTCAGGTATTGGAGCTGGTTTAGGTGGAGTTGGAGGTCTGCCAGGTGGTGCTGGTGGACTTTACCCGGGGGCAGGAGGTGAGAAATCATCTAGCTAAAGAATGATTTAAGAGCTGCAATCAGCCATTGTCATTTTAAAGAAATAGAACACCCCAAAATGGAAATAATTTACTCACTCGTGGTTACCATTGTGGTGAAGAGTAGTGCTGTCAATTGCGACTTTCACTTCGATGCAATAATGTTTTATAACCCCAAATCACAATTTCTCAAATGTGTCGAATGTGTCCATCCTGAGCATTAATGGAAATTGTATGTTGGGTCAATATAACTCAATTAAGTTAAAACAGCATTCCCTTGTTTTATGTTACATCAAACTGATTGAAATAGGCTATAAAAACAAAATTAGAATTTGTTGGCAGAATCAGGTAGAAATACCTACTTAAAGCAACAACTGCACAAGTTCACTTTTTACAGTGTAGTTTCAAATTATAAATCCCACTTTAACATGTTTACATGTATTTATTTGTGCAGAGTGGGCACTTATATAAGAATAAACAGTTGCTTTATTTTGATGGTCCACTTTAGACACGACTAACTATAAGTAACTTTGCAACTACATGCAATAGAGTATTAGTAGACTGTAGTAGACTGTTAGGTTAGGTGTTAGGTGTTAGGGTTCAGGTTAGTAAATTGACATGTAGCTGCAAAATTACTAATAGTCAGTAGATTAGTCTGTTGGGGGAGCATCGAAATATAGTGTTGGCAGATATTAAAGTAACACTCTCGTCTGCCATAGCCTGACGTGGTCTGTATCGCTTTTACTGGCACTATGTAACTTCGGGTTTCGGGTAGGAACCCGTGCACAAAAAGAACTACAAAATTTGACTGCTTTACGGCATACGTCACTTCCCCCACCACTTCCTCAAATTGTCTGTGGCCATTGCAGACATCCCAAGTCTCCCGGGAGTCTCCTGCGTCTCCCTGATGCCCGCAAATTAGTTCAGATCTGCCGGAATCTAGAGCGCGCATGTGAGACAGAACATACTGCGCGCATAACATACATAGCGCGAGCACGGCTGAGAGAGAGAGAGCGAGAGACCTTGCGAGTGTGCCTCACGAAAGCTAGTCAACCCGCCACCAGCCGCCCCCCAACGTCAACAATCCAGTCACCAAGATATACCTCCCTGTCTGAAATGACTTCTTGCAGGTTGGGATGTCTGCCATTGTTGATTCCAAAGCCGGTGCTGGATAAACAGCGAGCGTGCGCGTGCGACAGTCGGCTGCGGAAGGCTAAATTATTTACGACAGCAGTAATGGACAATTCTGCTTCCAACCTGTAGGGCGACCGCAGAGGAAAAATCACATGGTGTTGCTTTAAGCAGACAGTTTACTCTAATGACTGCTAGTTGACATGTAGTTACAAAAGTAACTTATAGTTAATAGAATGTCGAAAGTGGGCCATCAACATGAAGTGTTACCAAATAAACTGTTCCCTCTAGGTGTTCTTACACCAGCTCAAGCTAAAGCAGCTAAATATGGTGAGTACACTGATTAATTATCATCTATATTATGTGGCCCATAAGTGGTTATTTGGCAAGTCAGTCTTCCCTATCACATTATCAACTGATAACTCGATAACATGGTTTTTGACTTGAAAAAGTGTTTTTGCGATTTGACTAGGTGCTGGTCCTGGTGTTACTGGTATTGGTGGTGCAACAGGCACAGGCAGACTCTTTCCTGGGGTAGGAGGTGAGATACATATGTGTGCCTTAGCCTTAAATGACAGACGGTTTAGTAGAATGATACAATATTGATAAAAAATGTTGTTTGTTCTCCCATATGTCAAGGTACTGGTGCACTCTCCCCTGCTCAGGCAAAAGCTGCTAAATATGGTAAGCATGTATCCATATTTAAGCTCCAATTTTTTCTTCAAAACAATGTGAAAATCATCCTGCCCACTCATTCACATATACAATAATTGATTTAAAATTTGTAAGACATGTTTTGTATAAGAAAGCTGTATGTGAGGAGGGCGTGAATGATCATGAATATTGATGTATTTCACACCTGGGAAGACAAATACCCTCCCTTAATGGCCCAATCAGGTGGGACTGTGGGGGAGCTTGAACAAAGAATGTAGAGAGTTTAACAGAATGGCTTATTGATTGTTTGGATTTATTTACAACTCAACATAATCCAAAATCTTATGTTACATCAAATGTTTCATTCGTTACGACGTTATGCAATGAGATTGCAAAAACATGTAACTTAATGTTTGGCTCGTTTTGCTTTTCAAACTCACAGCGCTTGCAGAGAACATTTACTGCGATCAAGCCACTCCTCATATGAAACATTATTGTTACCACATTATAAACAGTTTTCAATGATGAATAACACTTGTCTGTATGACAAAAATCGACCGGGTTATTTGAGTCTCTTTCGCACTGATAAGTAAAAAACGAAGTGATCGCGCTGGCGCAAACACCGACCCCAGGGTTTTTTTCAGATATACCAGGGTTCTTTGATTCCAAACTAAATCAAACACACCCAAACAAGCCACAAAGGAAAGTACAAGCAAAAGTTCAGGGTTAGAACTAAACTCTGCAGGACAGCGGTCCTCCTAGATTAGGAATGAAATATAGCATTGGTAATGTCAAACTGAGTGATCATGGTTCTGCCTTGCTCCAGGTGCAGGAGCAGTTCCTGGTGGTGCTGGGATTGTGCCAGGAGCCGGAGGGGTCTACCCTGCAACAGGAGGTAAAAGTCTGTCTGTACAATATATCCAGAAGATCATAAAATAAGTGAAGTTCAGGGCCTTGTGGATGTAGTTGTCGTCAGTAACGGCCCTTTCCCAAATGACATTCTCAATCTTTGCAGTCTGCCTCCAAAAAAAGGATGTCCTACATGGCAAAATAATGTTCTACTTTCAGTGACATAATGCCTCATTAATGTTGCTATTGGTAGTAGTGCGCTGTAGAACCGAGTGTAGGTTCAGCTAAAAGATGCTTTGATGGCACAAAGCAGGAAACTAGCTAGCACACTTTTAAATGCCAAAATGACAAATGGGACACTCTACTGAATATACTAGTCCATTTAATTTGGGACATGGCCAATTTTGTCCATCATGCCCATATCGCTAACATTTTTCACATATCTTCCATTACAATGATCATAGAGTCTCAATACATTTATTTCTGCTTTCTTTACAAGGTCTGACACCTGCTCAAGCCAAAGCTGCTAAATACGGTAAGATAAATTTGAATGATTCAGTCTTATAATGTATATAAAGCATCTTATAATGTATTCTTCTCTGATCTCATAGGTTTGGGTGGGGCAGGTGGAGCTGGTGCTGGGCCTGGTTATGGAGGACTGTACCCTGGAGCAGGAGGTGAGTGGGAAAAAAAATTGAAACTAATTAGCTTTTTAAGGCACTTGGTAAACGAAATATCCATGAGCACAACTGTAAATCCTGCTTTGTCGTCAAATCTCAGATGGCAGTTATATTTGTGCCACAGTTAGTTTGGCCATGATTTTGGATTTTGATTTTTTTTTTTTTATAATAATAAATGCAAATGACAACGACAGACTAGCGCCTGAGATCAAGCCACTCAAAAGTTACTGGATGGATTTTAGAGTCTCAGGGGCATTTTTTAAAGTGGTTCACTGCTTATTTTATTAAAATATTTTACAAATATTAAGTCTTTTAAAAAAAGATGATCTCAAACAACTTGTGTCTTTTTTCGTAGGTGCAGGTGGTGTACCAGTTGGTGGAGTAGCGGGGGGAGCTGGAGTAATTCCTGGAACAGCACCAGGGGCTGGAGGTGAGTTTTACATCACGCTAATATTGGCTGACGAAACCTAAAATTCATGTTGTGGGGTAAAAATGTGTTAATCTAAAGAAATGAAGGTAAACTATAATAGGAAAAAAGGAAGCTGAGGTATGTACCATTTGCCTTTCGCTTCGGAGCCAAACAGTTCTGTATGTCTCTGAAGAGTGTTGGTTTGCAACGAGCGAGTATGTTGACCTCTTCTGGAAGAAGCCTCTCATCTGGTGATGGTGTGACATTGCGAGACAGTGGTGGTTGCGAGCTTCTAGCGCTCTCAGCGGCTGTTTTAACAGCATTATCTTTTCTTTGATTGTTGGTTGGTTAGAGGGCGTTCAGAGTGAGTGCTTCACTGTGCGGGCTACACCATCCCTTGCCATTGTTTGCCGTGGTCATTTCTCCTGTGTGCTTCGCCACCTTAGAAAGCTATTTCCTGAGTAACACGGGTGTGACTGCGTCTTTTTCAATATGTCATATCACCTGTGTGTTTCTGGGTGCGGTCGTTCCCTGGCGCAGGCTGACGGTCACAAAAACTGCATCACGTGTCTGGGCATTCAGCACGCTGAAGCAGCGTTTGTGGATGATTCATGTTCCCATTTCGGGAATATGACCATCGCGGTGTTACGGTCAAGACTCCTATACATCAAACGAGGTGGGGTCCCCTTACCTATGCCTCTATCTAGTGTTTCTTTTGGCCAACCCCAAAAGAGGGCTACTTTGACGAATAGCCTGAATGACTTGAGGATCACAGTGAGGGCTTCCCCGCCCAGTACCCAATCCCTGTGGGCCCCTCACTCCTCTCAAACACCCCAAGCCGTAGAGTTTTGAGCTGAGCACGCTGGCCCCTTTCATGACCGGCCAGTCGTTTTATTCGGGGCTCCCCCTGCTGACCAGATGTCAATCGTAGCATCAGAGAGTGAGCTTGAGTCTGGAGATGAGGACTCGGCTGCGCTTCCTCCTTCTGGGAGAGTTGCATGGCCGAGCCTGATCCAGAGTTGATGGCTAAGCTTGCCCGGGCCGCCGAGAGGATTGAGCTCGGTGGAATCCTCCACTGTGTCCCGAACCCTCGAGGTTGGACGATTGGTATCTCTAGTCCATTTAATTTGTTACATGGCCAATTGTGTCATAATGTCCATATCTCTAACATTTTTCCATTATTCCATTAACATTTCACATATCTTCCATTACAATGATCGTAGAGTCTAAATACATTTATTTCTGCTTTCTTTACAAGGTCTGACACCTGCTCAAGCCAAAGCTGCTAAATACGGTAAGATAGATTTGAATGATTCAGTCGAAGGCCAAATATCCAAAGCATCTTATAATGTATTCTTCTCTGATCTCCTAGGTTTGGGTGGGGCAGGTGGAGCTGGTGCTGGGCCTGGTTTTGGAGGACTGTACCCTGGAGCAGGAGGTGAGGGTGTCACAATAACCACGGGGACCAGAATACTAATCAACAGACTTTATTTATACACAGAGCAAATCCAGGGCAGAAGAATAAACGTAGAAAACTCAGAAGATACTTTACACATTAAACTTGAACTCATGCACGAATTCCTAAATGCTCTCATAGACAGTACTGGGAAATGTAGTGCGGGACAGGACCAGGGTAAACCGTGACATTACTCCCCCCTCCCGGGAGGCGCGTCCTCGTGCCTAATAACATCCGAGGGTGGGCGTCCTGGAGTCCTACCCGGGGGGATAGGGAACCAGGGACCAAGGACCAGAGACTCCAGGATGGTGAGGGACCAGAGGATACCAGGGCGGGGTCGGCCAAATGGTCGACCACCGGCGAGCAGGCTGGGTGGTCGTCCACGGTGGAGCGGTCTCTCAATCGGGCAGGGCCAGTAGTGATTGAAGTTCGGGGCTGGGCGGCGCCAGCGTTCTGGGGAGCTCCAAGCTGGACGTAACCAGCTACTTGGGTAACTCTGAACTGGGCGGACCCAGTGGCTTGAGTAACTCTGAACTGGGCGGACCCAGTGGCTTGGGTAACTCTGAACTGGACGGGACCAGCGGCCTGGGAAACTCTGAGCATACAGTGCTTGGCTTGGCGGGCTCGGTGCTCACAGCCCCTGATTGGGCGGTCACTACATTCTCAGACCCTGAGTCAGCGGGCAAAACCTTCACGGTTGCTGGCAAGGCGGCCATTAACTCCACGGTTTCTACTTCGACGGGCGCTAAGTAAAGCGCAGGCTCATCTATTCTCACGTGGGTTGCGGGCTTGACAGGATTAGCGTGAAGTGCGGGCTTGTTGGGTCTGGTGCGAGGCACGGCCTGGACAAGACTGATGTGACGAGCGGACTCTGCAGGACTGACGAGATGCATTGGCTCGGCAGGGCAGACGACGCATGCAGGCTCGGCTGGGCAGACGACAGGCGCAGGCTCGGCTGGGCAGACGACAGGCGCAGGCTCGGCTGGGCAGACGACCGGCTCTGGCTCGGCTGGGCAGTCAAGATGAGCGGATTTAGCTGGGCCGGTTGGATGTGGAGCATACCTGCGAGCTCCCCGGACTGACATCAAAGGGGGGTCAAACTATTTGGACGCCAGATCAGCACTGTTTGAAACCAGCTTACGTGCTCTGGGCCAGGTGATCCCCGCGACTGGTCCAGGGCGGATACTGAACTCCTGCTCGGTGGGTTTGACTGGGCTGATTAGACGAACAGGCTTGACTGGGTTGAGGACAGTACATTCAGGGAAAAAAACTATCCCAGCAGACGGATATAGCCTCCCTCCAGTCCAGACCCGAGACGTCAGGAAGCTGCCGCGGATCGACGTATTCGGCCCCGATCCTGTAGCAGGCCTTAACCGTCTCATCGCTCAGGTCACAGTCCTTGAGCAGAGAACAAAATTTAACAGTAAAATCAAAAAGATCGCGGCTTTCCTGGGCCAGCGCCGCGATCTGTTCCCAACACATCCTGGAAGGGGAATCGGTTAAAGCTGGGACTGAACTGGAACTTGCTCGAGTGTGTGGCCGGGTATTCTGTCACAATAACCATGGGGACCAGAATACTAATCAACAGACTTTATTTATACACAGAGCAAATCCAGGGCAGAAGAATAAATGTAGAAAACTCAGAAGATACTTGTAGACACATTAAACTTGAACTCAAGCACGAATTCCTAAATGCTCTCATAGACAGTCCTTATGATATCATTTAGATGAGCATGGGATGTTCTCACTGACAGTCCTCGGGATATCACTCACAGATGCACGGGGAATTCTCATACAGACAGTCCTTGAATTAACACTCAAGTCAGTCACTGGAGATGAGCAGTCGATCAAGTATTCACGTTCATAGAAGACTCTTGAATAAACAATCACGTTAGATATAGGAATCACCTCAAGCGTTGAGACGTAGAAACACTCCGAGGCATACTAACACTCGGATAGCCAACACGAGAATATCCCCGTTTGTAATGACGATCTCTCACGTATACACTGGAGTCACCCCGAGTGAGGGAACACAGAGCCACTCGCCGATAACCTCTGGAGCCAGTGTTTCAGATCACAGAAGTAGCATGTGGAAACAGAAACATGAAGTAACGTATAATACCCGGCAGTGAGACAATGGGAGTGAGGAGGTTATAAAGGATCAGCATAGGGAGATCAAGAGGTGATAGGGAACAGCTGCGGTGATGAGGGAAGTGAGTGCAGGTGCGGGGATCCAGGGGGAATGCTGGGAAATGTAGTGCGGGACAGGACCAGGGAAAACCGTGACAGAGGGGGAACAAACAATCAAAACTAATTAGCTTTTTGAGGCACTTGGTAAACAAAATATGCATGAGCACAACTGTAAATCCTCCTTTGTCGTCAAATCTCAGATGGCAGTTATTGGCCTTTCATCAGTTCAATTAAAATTTGTGCCACAGTTAGTTTGGCCACGATCTTGGATTTTGATTAAAAAAATAAAAAAAGAACTACTCCTGCAAATGACAATGACAGACTAGCGCCTGAGATCAAGCCACTCAAAAGTTACTGGATGGATTTTAGAGTCTCAGGGGCATTTTTTTAAGTGGTTCACTGCTTATTTTATTAAAACATTTTACAAATATTAAGACTTTTTAAAAAAATATGATCTCAAACAACTTGTGTCTTTTTTCATAGGTGCAGGTGGTGTACCAGTTGGTGGAGTAGCGGGGGGAGCTGGAGCAATTCCTGGAACAGTACCAGGGGCTGGAGGTGAGTTTTACATCATGCAAATATTGCATCTGATGAAACCTAAAATTCATGTTGTGAGGTAAAAATGACCATTGCGGTGTTACAGTCAAGACTCCTATACATCAAACGAGGTGGGGTCCCCTTACCTATGCCTCGATCTAATGTTTCTTTTGGCCAACCCCAAAAGAGGGCTACTTCGACGAATAGCCTGAATGACTTGAGGACCACAGTGAGGGCTTCCCCGCCCAGTACCCAATCCCTGTGGGCCCCTCACTCCTCTCAAACCCCCAAGCCGTGGAGTTTCCAACTGAGCACGCTGGCCCCTCTCATGACTGGCAAGTCGTTTTATTTTGGGCTCCACCTGCTGACCAGATGTCAATCGTAGCATCAGAGATTGAGCTTGAGTCTGGAGATAAGGACTCGGCTGCGCTTCCTCCTTCTGGGAGAGTTGCGTTGCCCTAGCCTGATCCAGAGTTGATGGCTAATCTTGCCCGGGCCGGGAAAGGGTTGGGCTCGGTGGAATCCTCCAAGGCGTGTCCCGAACCCTTGAGGTTGGACGATTGGTATCTCTAGTCCATTTAATTTGGGACATGGCCAATTATGTCCATAATGTCCATATCTATAACATCTTTCACATATCTTCCATTACAATGATCGAAGAGTCTCAATACATTTATTTCTGCTTTCTTTACAAGGTCTGACACCCGCTCAAGCCAAAGCAGCTAAATACGGTAAGATAGATTTGAATGATTCAGTCTAAGACCAGATATCCAAAGCATCTTATAATGTTTTCTTCTCTGATCTCCTAGGTTTGGGTGGGGCAGGTGGAACTGGTGCTGGGCCTGGTTTTGGAGGACAGTACCCTGGAGCTGGAGGTGAGTGGGAACAAACAATCGAAACTAACTAGGTTTTTGAGGCACTTGGTAAACGAAATGTCCATGAGCACAACTGTAAATCCTGCTTTGTCGTCAAATCTCCGATGGCAGTTATTGGCTCCAATATTAGCTGCTAAGTTTTTCTCCTTTCATCAGGACAATTATAATTTGTGCCACAGTTAGTTTGGCCACTATCTTGGAATTTGATTAAAAAAATAAAATAAAATAAAAACTACTCCTGCAAATGACAAGGACAGACTAGCTGCCCGAGATCAAGCCACTAAAAAGTTACTGGATGGATTTTAGAGTCTCAGGGGCATTTTTTAAAGTGGTTCACTGCTTATTTTATTAAAATATTTTACAAATATTAAGACATTTTAAAAAAAACATGATCTCAAACAAGAAGCCTCCTAAATATGGTAAGATAAGTATTACAAACAACTATAGTTCCCTCTCAGTCGGTCACATTCAACGTTACGTCGACGTCACCGACGTATTAGGATCACGCCAGGGAGCCTATCTTCTGCGAGTGGTAACAGAACAAGGAAATGGACATTGGAGTGCGAGATTTGCATCTCGCGCTCCGCCCTGCAGCGCGTGTATAAATAAGAAGAGGATGTACGCACCATTTGCCTTTCGCTTCGGAGCTGAACAGTTCTGTATGTCTCTGAAGAGTGTTGGTTTGCAATGAGCGAGTATGTTGAGCTCTTCTGGAAGAAGCCTCTCATCTGGTGTCGGTGTGACAGTGCGAGACAGCAGTGGTCGTGAGCCTCTAGCGCTCTCAACTGCTGTTTTAACGGCATTTTCTTTTCTTTGATTGTTGGTTGGTTAGAGGGCGTTCAGAGTGAGTGCTTCACTGTGCGGGCTACACCATCCCCTGCCAGTGTTTGCCACGGAAATTTCTCCTGTGTGCTTCGGCACCTTAGAAAGCTATTTCCTGAAAGAGTAACACGGGTGTGACTGCCTCTTTTTCAAGATGTCATATCACCTGTGTGTTTCTGGGTGCGGTCGTTCCCTGGCGCAGACTGACGGTCACAAAAATTGCATCACGTGTCTGGGCATTCAGCACGCTGAAGCAGCGTTTGTGGATGATTCATGTTCCCATTTCGGGAATATGACCATCGCGGTGTTACGGTCGAGACTCCCATACATCAAACGAGGTGGGTTCCCCTTACCTATGCCTCGATCTATTGTTTCTTTTGGCCAACCCCAAAAGAGAGCTACTTCGACGAATAGCCTGAATGACTTGAGGATCACAGTGAGGGCTTCCCCGCCCAGTACCCAATCCGTGTGGGCCCCTCTCTCCTCTCAAACCCCCCAAGCCGTGGAGTTTCCAGCTGAGCACGTTGGCCCCTCTCATGACCGGCCAGTCGTTTTATTCGGGGCTCCCCCTGCTGACCAGATGTCAATCGTAGCATCAGATAGTGAGCTTGAGTCTGGAGATGAGGACTTGACTGTACTTCCTCCTTCTGGTAGAGTTGCGTTGCCCGAGCCTGATCCAGAGTTGATGGCTAAGCTTGCCCGGGCCACTGAGAGGGTTGGGCTCGAGTGGAATCCTCCACCGTGTCCCGAACCCTCGAGGTTGGACGATTAGTATATCTAGTCCATTTAATTTGGGACATGGCCAGTTATGTCCATAATGTCCATATCTATAACATGTTTCACATATCTTCCATTACATTGATCATAGAGTCTCAATACATTTATTTCTGCTTTCTTTACAAGGTCTGACACCCGCTCAAGCCAAAGCAGCTAAATACGGTAAGATAGATTTGAATGATTCAGTCTAAGACCAGAAATCCACAGCATCTTATAATGTATTCTTCTCTGATCTCCTAGGTTTGGGTGTGGCAGGTGGAGCTGGTGCTGGGCCTGGTTTTGGAGGACTGTACCCTGGAGCAGGAGGTGAGGGGGAACAAACAATCGAAAATTACTAGCTTTTTGAGGCACTTGGTAAGCAAAATATCCATGAGCACAACTGTAAATTTTTCCTTCTCGTCAAATCTCAGATGGCAGTTATTGGCTTCAATTTTTGCTGCTAAGTTTTTCTCATTTTATCAGTTCAATTAAAATTTGTGCCACAGTTAGTTTGGCCACTATCTTGGATTTTGATTAAAAAAATAAAATAAAATAAAAACTACTCCTGCAAAAAACAAGGACAGACTAGCTGCCTGAGATCAAGCCACTCAAAAGTTACTGGATGGATTTTAGAGTCTCAGAAGCATTTTTTAAAAGTGGTTCACTGCTTATTTAATTAAAATATTTTACAAATATTAAGACATTTTTAAAAAGATGATCTCAAACAACTTGTGTCTTTTTCTTAGGTGCAGGTGGTGTACCAGTTGGTGGAGTAGCGGGAGGAGCTGGAGTAATTCCTGGAACAGCACCAGGGGCTGGAGGTGAGTTTTACATCATGCAAATATTGCATCTGACGAAACCTAAAATTCATGTCGTGAGGTAAAAATGCTGCTAATAATAAAGAATTATAAGTTATATTATAATAAATTATAATAAAAAATAAAAAGGTAAACTATGTTAATAATTGTAGAAATTACTTTACCAATTCCTTTTATTTTAGTGTATCCAGGTGGAGTGAAGCCTCCTAAATATGGTAAGAAAAGTATTAATTACAATTTATCGGTGCATGATTTAATTCAGAGATTGTATGTACAGTACAGGTTTTAGCTGACTGAGGAGCAAGGATTACAGCAAGAACTTGGCGCAATGGGCTGCTAGTGATCTTTGATCTTGCTAGTACCTAGATCTTGCCAGTGTTCTATGAAGAACCTTTAAGTGTCATGTAAATACCCTGGTACACTAAGATAGTAATCATTAAGTACCATGGTATGTTTCACTGTACATCAGAATATCATGGTTTGCCATGATATATTTAAGAGAGTTTGATAAACAAAGTATAATTTCAAAAAAGTCCAAAATTGATTCTGTTCACATCACAAGTCAAGTCAAGTCACATTTATTTATATAGCGCTTTTCACAATACAGATTGCATCAAAGCAGCTTCACAGTGATAACATGAAAGTAGTACAACACAGTTCAATAATATTGTTGAATATTAAATATCCCCAACTAAGCAAGCCAAAAGCAAGGCGACAGTGGCAAGGTGACAAGCACTTGAGATAGTTGGTGCTAAGCAGTAAAAAGTGCTATACTGTATTAGCACTTTCACAGCCATTTTACCAGACATTATGTGTGCAAAATGACACTGATTGTCTGCCCATGACTTGTCTGTAGGAGGAGCAGGAGGGGCTGGTGTTTTCCCAGGTTATGGTTCTGTTGCTGGGATCGGAGGACCTGGAGCTGTGCCTGGGGCTGGAGGTGCAGTAAATGTTGATTTGTCTCAATTTCTCACAACTGTTGTTTGTCAGTTGAGCTTATTTTGTTTCTCGATGTAGTTTAGTTTTGGTTAATATTTCATAACAGTGATAAATGTTTTCAGGGCTAGGAGCTGGCGTCAAACCTCCTAAATATGGTATGGGTTTGACTCTTTTCTTAGACACTGTCTAGATTGCATTGGCAATGCTCTGTAAGATAAATAGTTTGCAGTATTATCAGTAGAGTATTGCTTGGTCAAAGATTATGCTGTTGTGGCCTTAGGAGTACCTGGAGGAACAGGTTTCGGAGTCCCTGGAGGAGTACCAGGAGGAGTCCCCGGAGGAGTACCAGGAGGAATACCAATAACTGGAGCTGGAGGTATCACTGCTTTATTCTGGAAAGCATGATGGAAAAACTGAATTAGCTGACATGTTAGACATAATCTTTTTTTTTTTTTTGGATTGGAAGATTTTGGATGAAAATGCATGGGCTTCAGCATTGTATTTTAAAACTCATCTGTTTATATTTGTGTGTTTAAGGATACCCTGCTGGTGCCAAAGCTCTTAAATACGGTATTTATATTAGCTGAGTATTTATATATAAACCAGAGATTAGGAACATTGCATTGTCTGCTCTAAATCAAAATTCTTCATCTAGGTTTGGGTGGTGGTGGTGGTTTACCAGGAGGGACTGGATTTGTCCCTGGGCATCAGAGACCAGGTAATATTAGTCAATATTAATATAACAGCTGTTTACATTGTGAGTAAACAAGGATATTAAAACAAATGGCAAATTACATTACTGAGTTTAAATTGAGGTGAACAACAAAGTTTTCATTTAGAGAGATTATATATGATTTCTTCAGTAATTTTACTTGTTCTGGTTTACATTGTATTCAAGCTTGCCTAGCCATATACAAAAAAAATGTTTATATTTAACATCTGAAGAGTCTGTTGCAACACCAAAATAAATAGCTTGTTAAATTACTTTAGGCTTTGAATGCATAAATCCATTTTTTTTTGTACTGTAACCATGTTCCTTGAAACAGATTGGATTTGGATGTTTGAAAATATAGCTCATGCTCAATTAATTGGAAACATGACTGAGCATGTTTGTCTCATTAATACTACATGGCTTCCCTCAAATTAAGCTTGCTGCTGTGAAAGTATTTGGCACCACTTTTGTTTTATGGGGTATGAGACTGGAGCTGGGGCCAGATCCCTAAGTAAGCTAAGAACAGCCCCTGGATATTATACTCAGGTGTAGTAAATTGTGGACCTTTTTGTGGCAGTTTCTCCTGCCAAGGATGCCTGAGGCGATAGGCTGGAGTGACTTGCTCCCATCGAGTGTCCATGGAGGTAGACTCGGATGGAACCCCCGATGTTCAACATAACTTTAATCACAAATAAATATAAACAAAAGGAAAGTGAAGTGAAGTGGCAGCCCCTCACAGATGACTGCCACATAAACTAAAACAAAACAACACATAAAGTCCAGGCTTGGTCCTCTCTCACCTTCCACCTCCTTTTATCCTTCCGGAGATCATTCGTGTGACTCGAGACCGTTCACCGCCACCGGCATCACTCCGCTTCCGCGGCTCTGGGCCCCACCCTGCTTGCCACACTGATAAAAGCTCATACCTCCAAACAATACAGGTGCACAAAGCAGGACTGTTTGTTTAGTTCTGTGGCACGTTTGTGACTTGTAATGGGCACATAGAATATGAATTACATTAGGTGAAAATAAAGTAAACTAAAGCAGTGTAGGCAAATTCCGGTTCAGCTGTAGACAACTGAGATGGTCTATTCACTACTTTTGTCTGCTAACTGCTGACTACTTTTCTTGACCAACTAGTTACAAGTAAAAATGTGTTTATAGCAAGACCTAAAGAGCAGTTACAGAGCCTTGAAATTTGGAAATGTTCTATTTTTTATTATGGTTTATAAAATTTTGGTATGCTAAGATTTTTGCAATACCGATTTTTTTAGTTTGCCAGTTAAAAACCGTTACAGCCATGACAGTATGACCTTCCTTAAGTCTAATGGCATTTGTTCTGTCATTAGGTTTGGGCGGAGCTGGAGGAGTCCTAGGTGGAGTTGGAACAGGAACTGGATATCCCATTGGAGGTGAAATTATTACATTTTCAAATATTCAACCAATAAAGTACACTACAACTTTCATCCCAGTGAGACAACAACATGATGTGCCGCAATACACGCCGAGTTCTAAACTAGTAGCTAAGCATCATAGCCTTAACCTGATGTAAGCAGAGACTGACACCTTCTGGAGTGAGACAAAAGAGGTGTAACATGCAGTCTGACTCTTGGGTTCATTGAAAACCAAAGTGACACTGCAATCTGTATTGTTTACAGTGGATTTATTGAGCAAGCAGTAAGGCCACTTAAAAGAGCATTCTTCAGTCTAGAGATGACACGAGTTTGGACAAGGAGTTCAGACAGAAAGGGTCTGATCTTATTATATTGTTAATGAGCCTAGATCAATGATAATGCTGTGTTGAATTAGACAGGCCGGAATGACAAGGAGCTCAGTCTTCACTAGGCTGAGTTGGAGGTGGTTTTGTTGCATTGAGGCTTAGGCAAGTAAAGATGCAGCCATTGTGTGATCATCATACTAGGACGAGAAAGGGAGCTGCATGTCATCAGCATAACAGTGGAAGGAAAATCAATCTGCCTGGATGATAGGTGCCAGTGCTGGTGTATATGAAGAAGTAGAGAGGGACAAGAATCGAACCCTGAGGTACCCAGTAGTTAACTGACTGTTAACTGACTTAGACAGGTCCAGCAGAATGAAGTGGATGATTCCCCACCAACCACAGGGTAATCAATAGCAATACAGTCTTCCTTGAATGTCTGCCTAAAGAATCGTTGTCTAGCAGGATATTCTACTAAAGGAAAATTAAATAAATGATTGTTGAAGATGGGGAGAATACGGTCAAGGGGCAGGTGGTAGGAGAGATTTAGAAGCCTCTGTGACAGGAGAGAAAAGAGGAGAGCCACAGTTGCATATACTAGGCGAGTTGCATTTGTGTGGTATACTAGGTGGTTATGAATTTGTTATGCTGAGAATTGATTGCTAATGACTATAACCTTATCTGAGAAATACTACAAAGGTTAAGTCATTGCCCATTATGCTACAAAATTAGGAAATATTTTCTCAATTGTGCAGCAATGTAAACATAGATTTAATATTTTCTCAGGATATGGAACCGGGGCAAAACCACCTAAATATGGTAAATGGTTTTAATTTTTAAAAACAAACAGGAATTTCAACACATTAGATCAGGGGTCTCCAAACTCATTCCTGGAAGGCCACTGTCCTGCAGAGTTTAGCTCCAACCCCAATTGAACACACCTGAACCAGCTAATCAGTGGCTGAATCCGAAATCGCCCCCCATACCCTCAAATAGGGCGTTATTTGAGGGGACAGCCATTTGTAGTGGTGTCCGAAACCACAGTGGACATTATTGAGTGCACTTACTCAATCCCACATTGCACTGCAATAACAAGTGTACAACCGATGTACGCTCAACGGCTGTCCGAATTTGCTCACTCCTTTTCATTCACTCCTTCAAGTGAACGGTATCAGGGGACTAACTTAGGGAATAGTGAATGAGGGATTAGGGGGCGATTTCGGATTCAGCCTTTGTCTTACTGGGGTTTTAATTGGGGTTGGAGCTAAACTCTGCATGACAGTGGCCCTCCAGGACTGAGTTTGGAGACCCCTGCATTAGATAATCTCTAGACCAGGGGTGCCCAATCCTGTTCCTGGAGGCCCACATTCCCGCAGAATTTGGTCCCAACCCTGCTCCAACTCACCTGCTGGTTGTTTCTAGTAATCCACCTTAATTAGCTAGTTCAGGTGTTTGATTGGGTTGGAGCTAAACTCTGCAAGATGTTATCCCCCAAGGATTAGGGGTATTATCCCCCCTAAACTGAAATCAATGTTTAATAAAGTCAGCATGAAATGAAAAATCTCAGTTTGTTAAATGCATGTTATATATCTTATTGTGAATGGTTTGTTGGTTTATATGGTTTTTTTTTTTTAAATATCTTTTTAATCAAAATGTAATAACTCAAAACCGGTCCCGAGAACCCACTGCTCTACATATTTTGTATATCTTCCTGATTTAACACACTTGATTCAGATCATCAGTTCATTAGGTGAACTGAGTGTGTCAGATAAGAGATGTGACAAAGTGTGCAGAGCTGTGGGTCCCCAGGACCAGGATTGAAACCACTGTCATAACTGGATCTTCCAGTGAAAACGTCTCTCTGGTGACGTATGCAGGGCTTTTCTAATTTGGTTATCTTAAAACTCGCTCATGCTAATCTGCCTTCAGTTTTATGTGGCATTAAAAAAATTCTCTTTTGATAATGTTACACTCAGTTATACATCACAATATGGAGGAAAAGATCTGTAGCTACTTCAGTTTCATCACGATTTTAATGACAAATTGAATGTGTAGGTGTACCGGGTGGAGTACCTGGAGGTGTACCTGGTGGTGTTCCGGGTGGTGTACCTGGTGGTGTACCTGGAGGTCTCTATTCATTTTTTTTTCACTGATAGCTGCACCATTTAATCAAGACATTTATTGCTTAAAGATTACTGCTCACTTTTGCTTAAACTCTGAAAAGTCTTTAAAGGTTTAAATTAAACTGAATTCTCAGAATAATTAGGCAAGTATTATATATCATAAATTATGATTTTAAAGATTAGTTCTATAAATTGAATTGATGCCATTACAGGGTACCCAGCAGGAGTTAAACCTCCAAAATACGGTGAGAGACATTAACATTTTGTACTTTTATCTAAATACATTTTAAAGGTATTCCTTTTTTTTTTTTGCTTAATAAATGTTTACACAAAAACAAATAAATACCATTTTTGAAATATGTTTAAAATAATTTCTAAGCTTGAGTTCAAGCTGTTTCCTCTAGCCCTTCCCTACGGACATCAAGTCAAAAAAGCTTTCCCGTAATAGCATAAAGATTATATAGGCAAACTAACTCTTAATTTTAAATAAGAGCCACAGTGATATTTACCTAAAAATAAAAGTTGGCTACAGGGAAAAAGAGATGTTTGTACAAACTGGTTGGCACTGATTTGAATGGTGACACGGTTTGCCTGCAGGAGTCGCGGGAGGTGCAGGAACGGGACCTGGTGCAGGAGCACCACTGCCTGGGACAGGATTGACACCAGGAGGTAATGATTCAACTGACTCATGAACAGGTCACTGTCAATGTGAGATAATAATTTATTTATTATACTCATTTCATTTTTTACAGGATATCCTAGTGGAGTCAAACCTCCTAAAACTGGTACGGTTGTTCATATACATTATAGCTTCACATACTGCTCCATCTAAACCTGTGTTCACCTGTCTTTTGTCATGCCATTTAATAAGGAGATGGAACATAACATATAGCACCTGTTGGTTTTTCCCAATGTGTGCTAGGTGCTGGGATCACTGGAACTAATATAGCAGGTCCTGGTGCAACACCTGGTGGTGACGTGGTGGTCGTACCGGGTGGCACTGGGGTGCCCATTGCACCAAGTGGAAAACCAGGTACGAAAAATAGCCTTGCTCAAACAAATGCCATGAAGCACAAAGTATATCATGCTTGAGTTGCAGTAAAAATGGTAACACTTTAGAATACGGTTCCTTTGTTAATGAATAACTACACAGGAACAAATGAGTAACACAATATTAACAATCTAGTAACTACTATTAACTAACAAGAAATTCTGATTAACGAATTAGTAAGTAACAGCGCACAGATGAAAGTGGTAGTTCACTATTAACTAATTGATAACTACTATTTTTTTAATGCTTCCCAGAGAACTACTGAAGAAGATTAATAGTTCATGCAAAACTAATCAATAACTAATGCAGGACAAATGACTAGCACTACATTAACATTAATAACTGCTGTAAACAAATACACAAGGTTTATCAATATGTAATAGCATAGCAGACTTATGATTTGGGAAATAATTAGCCTATGCTCTCTCCTAGAGAACTATTTATCAACTGAATAATTTTAAAGAAATGGCTTTTTAAATGCAGTAGTCGGGACCTTACTTGTCCTGTAGTGATTCAATGCCAGTCCAGAGGAATGCCAGAAAATTGGCCAGAGTCACGGTGACGGCTGGAACATATTGAGTTATCGGCCATCCAAATACCATATAAATATATATAAAAATAATTTATTAATGTCTCCTACCTCATACGTGTGTGCAAATTATCTTGTGAAGGATTAGAAGATTCTACACTTTAGGATTTGCTTTTCATGTAATAATCATGATAACTAACTAGTAATTACTCAAGTGTTACTACACACTTCTATGGGAATTGCTATCTAAAACTTCACCAAAAACCTCAAAAGCTTAAAAGAATTAGTAATTCCTTTAGAAGTATGTAGTAACACTTGAGTAATTACTAGTTAGTTACAGTGATCTTCACTTTAGAATACGGATCCAAATAATTAGTCATTCCTTTAGAAGTATGTAGTAACACTTGAGTCATTACTAGTTAGTTACCATGATTCTTACAGTAGTTCTCTGGGAAGCATTAAAAACAAGTAGTTATCGATTAGTTAATAGTGAACTACCACTTTCATCTGTGCGCTGTTACTTACTAATTTGTTAATCAGAATTTCTTGTTAGTTAATAGTAGTTAGATTGTTAATATTGTGTTACTCATTTGTTCCTGTGTAGTTATTCATTAACGAAGGAACCGTATTCTAAAGTGTTACCGTAAAAATGTGTTCATTCCACAGCAAAGCTTCCAACCCTGACCCCCTCAGGGACTGATCTACCAGGTGAGTACAAAATGGGTGACCTCTATGTACTCTCAGTGACATTTGTTCATCTGTTGTCATTAGTCAATTATAGTACACTAATGTCAAAGATACTAGTATAAAGTCTGCCCTTCTTTGTATTTTATTGTGGCCAAGAACTGACCAGGACAGGAAGAGACAGTCAGACTGGCATTTGACCAGTCAGTTTTGTGTTCCTGTGTGTGAGAGAGAGATAGAGCTTGTCAGAGCCGACACTTGAACTCAGGTCGACAGCGTGAGAGTCTGAATATGTGAGTTACTGAGGAGATTGTGAAGCACTAGAGAAGACTTACACAGGCAGGTGGCTTCAGGACAACTAAACACCAAACAAAGAAACTAGAGCTGCGTCCGAAATCGCATACTGTCCACTCTAGAAGGTACAACATTTGGTTTGAAATGAACATCGTGACCGTTAAAAAAGTTCTATATAGTATATGGGTAGTATGAATGAAATTCAGATGTACTATATCCGCCATTTTGTCATGTGACCTTAGGTGTCAGTTGCATCGCTTCACTGCCAATTACAAATCCTCTCCTGTGGCCTAATAGGATGATGAAGTGTCCAGTATATGCGCACTTTTTGCCTACTGTTTTATGAATACTATGCATTTAGACATACTACTCGGCTCACACACATTGTAGGAGACAGATGCTGAATTTAGAACCTATAAGTACACATACTACTTTTACCATATCTTTGTATGGTAAGAGTAGTATGCGGTTCTGAATTCAGCAAGAGCCAATATAATACACACAGGTGATTGAGACACAGGTAAAGACAATAACACTAATTACAAGTTGTGGGAACAAGACATGAGGGCGCAATGAGGACCTTTAGAGGCTGTAAAAGCATCACAACAAAACCAAGTACTGACACAGCTAGCTCTGAATATGCCACAATAATGGGAAAAAAGCAAGTACTATCTCATTCAAGTAATGGTGCAGCGGTTTTTACAAACAGTTGTACAGACAAATAATAGTAATTGATTGTAGTCCTTTTTAAAAATATGTATAATTTCATGGACTTAAATGAAATAAAGTACACACATTTCTCAAAAACATCCCCTTTACTTGACAATATGTGTCTCTATACAGACGACGCCATTTTCAAAACGATCCCCATTCACACGGATCCGCGAAAACGACTAAAAACTCTGTATTCTGTGCCAGACCGTTAGATGGCGATGAAACGCTATAGTCTGAACACGTAATACGCATGAGCATGACGCCATCGTGTTGTTTACATGGAGACCGTTTTCAAAAACTTGCACTTTGAAACCTGTTTTTAATAAGTTTGCGTTTGGGGAGATTGTCAACTTAGTGAGAATTTAGGACAGAAATATATCACTATTACAAAGTATTCACACTACTAGTAATAACATTATAAAACAATATATTAATATTGTAGACTAGATATAACATGTTACTTCTGTTATTTTTGTAAGAGTAGAGATAGTGAGACAGTATATCCACAAACAATGGTGACTATTACTGTATGTGTTAACTGATCATTTGTATAAACATCTGTCAGCTTGCTGGTATTTTCCTCTTCCCCCTATCTATCAAACTGAGCCCTAGAAAATAACGATAACCATAATAATTGATAGGTAGTTTCTTTCATCACCTCCACAACTGCACCCTGTTACGGCCTCTAAGCTAGTCACCTCTATGCTGCGTGTCTTTGAACTGCAAGGGTTGAAGGTGGAACGTGTTGTTTCTTGGCAGGACCGACAGCTATTGTAGCCACTGGCAAGGCCCCTGAGCTCAGTAAGATCTACTGTGTTGCATGTGCAAATGTCTTGTCTAAATGTAGCGGAACTCCATTAGCGTTTAGCTCTGGCTTTAATTCTCTTTCGCCTTCCTAACCTTGCTGCTATCTGCGCTTGAGTTTGCAGATCTGCGTTTTCTCAGATGTGTTACTCACAATCTGTACCTGTAGCAGGATATGGTCCAGTTTTGTGTCTTCAAAACACAACATGCACACTTAGTATTAAGAAAGAACATGATCAGTTCTGAGCAGGGACCAAAATTAACTCTCAGCGAGCAGCAAATGCGAGCAAAAATTGGCTTCTGCAGTTGAAGAGTGACTTTATAACTGCAACATTATATATGGTTTACATCTAATTCAAATCGGAGACAAAACTATCTGTCATGAGCGACCCCAGTGGGAAATTAACCATTTTACATTTTCTGGGATCAGTTTTCTTTTTCTCCAGAACTCCATGTGGTGACACAAAATCATATCTGAGATAGAGACTGCATCATCTTGAATATGACACTGCAAGTGACACAAATATACAAGGAAAAATCAGCTAAATTATCCCATTTTATTGCAAAATGCAGTTTCATGCAGTTTCATTAAGACATTTTTATGGGCAATCATTCTTCTCAATTCACCCTCCATTGGCAGGGGAGGCAAAATGTTAATTTTGGACCCTGGTTCAAAGTCTTCAGTGCACTAAATGAAACTTCAAAAACTTGTTTGATATCGAGACTCGTTCAGAATCTGTTGTTGTTCAGCTCCTGATGGGTCATTCTCAGGATGCTGTGCCATTTGACAATGTGCTTTTTAATCACATATTATAATAGAAGATAATAATAACCTGTGACATTTGTCTTTTAAAACACTTTTTGTACCAACCCTGTTACTACCAAAATATTGTGTGCTTAAAAGTCAGTGTGGAAGTGGTTAATAATGACCTGAGCTAACAACTATATGTGCACCCCACCTTAATATTTACATTCAGTGCTGTACATCCGTGTGCTTTCTGATAAAAACAACTTTAAATCTGATCACTGTTAAGACTGACCATGCCAATATACACTCAAAAAAATGATATGTTTGCTTTACTTAACTTTTTTATGTAAACAGGTTCCACCGGTTCCACATAACTATGTTTCGTTAAACAAACATAATATGTTCATGTAACTTCAACATCATGGAATTTGGTCATTTTAAGCGACCCAATTAAACTCTGAGCTAATGAGTTAATTAAGTGAATAACTGAGTGATGATTGAGCATTATTGAAGACACCTGATGTTAACAAGCAGAATCTCTGAAGGAGAAAACCGGAATGTTTAAGTCACCATTATGGAGATAAGTGTGTGTTTTAGTTGGGCTCTTGACCATTAACTTATTAACCTTAGATTTTGTTTGGTTGCTGTACATGAGTTATAACAGCCGGATGAACAATGAACTGAGGAGATCTGATGGTGTTGGTTGTGATTTAACATAATCATTATTTCACAATCATTTGACCTCAATCACTGAACTTATATTGAACCCAATTTCTGAGTTAAGTTTACCTTACTGTCATTGTAGAGCATACTATTTTTAGCCTTTTCAATGAAATTCAAATGATCAAGTCAATAAATAAAAAATAAACTTCTTAAAAAATATCCTGAGTAGGCACACACAGACATCAAGAATCAGCATATGAATCTCAGCAATGGTGACAAACAGATCATAAGCTCATTATTTATTCATGCAGCAATGCATGATGGGAGCCATGAATGAGTTTTGATTGGTGGCACGCAGAATGCACTGCAACATGCTTTATAATTGTCACCATTGCTGAGATTCACAGGCTGATTCTTGATGTCTGTGTGTGCCTACTCAAAATATTTTTTTAAGGAAGTTTCTTTTTTATTTATTGATTTGATCATTTAAATTTCATTGAAAAGTCTAAAAAATAGTATGCTCTACAATGACAGTGCTGTTATTATTTGTAAGGTAAACTTAACTCAGAAATTTGGTTTAATATAAGTTCAGTGACTCAGGTCAAATGATTGTGAAATAATGATTATGTTAAAACACAACCAATACCATCAGATGACCTTTGTTTATTGTTCATCCGGCTGTTATAACTCATGTACAGCAACCAAACAAAATCTAAAGTTAATAAGTTAATGGTCAAGAGCCCAACTAAAACAAATACTTATCTCCATAATGGTGACTTAAACATTCCGGTTTTCTCCTTCAGAGATTCTGCTTGTTAACATCAGGTGTCTTCAACAATGCTCAATCATCACTCAGTTATTCACTTAATTAACTCATTAGCTCAGAGTTTAATTGGGTCGCTTAAAATGACCAAATTCCATGATGTTGAAGTTACATGAACATATTATGTTTGTTTAACGAAACATAGTTATGTGGAACCGGTGGAACCTGTTTACATAAAAAAGTTAAGTAAAGCCAACATATCATTTTTTTGAGTGTAAGTGTAACCATGATGAAATGCTGACGAAGACTGTAAGAGAAACTTAAGATGAACCATATTGTTAAAAGGACTTTAAAAAAAAATATATTGACATAAGACATAATTTGAAAAATTGCAGCATAACAGGCTTGAATAAAAAGTGTAGAGACAAAGACATTTTATAAACTCACAGACAGTGATATTTTTCATTTGAAGAAAAGCAAAATGTGGGTGGAATTTGTTTTGTTTAAATTTAAAACCCAATAACATGTCGTGGTTATGAATGGGCTTACGTCTATTAAAACTTTAGCATCTGCAATGTCATTTTTCCTGTTAATGATATCATTCAGTCATGGCCATTTAAAAGGCACTGTTTCCTGAGGATGACCCAGATGGACACACTAGGGGTTTTATTTATTGTTATAATGTAGCTTGTGTTTCTGTCTGGACTGTATATATCAGCTTATAATCATGGCCTGTTGTGTTACTCAGGTGGTGTGCAAAGAGTGCCTAGTGGTGCGGGTGAGTACATGCAGCTTCCTTTTGTCTAGAACTATATGTCCTGGGCTTCAGATACATTAGTCACCCTGAGCCGTGATAGCAGTTGGGACGGCGTCCTTTAAAAGACAATGTATCATTCCCTATCAAACCCCAGACACTCCATGTTTAACTTGATAGTTGCCTTAGAATCACCCTATGAAAAATATGCAGGAATTGAAGACAAAATTCACAGCCCAAAGTTGTATAGTCGTGTACCGTCTCTACAGTCACGGAAAATACAAAATGTTCAGAAAATATAATCCACAGGACAATTATGTCAAGTTTTCTGGAAGAAAGAAAGACATGTGTGAAATGTGGAAGGCACAAAACACTCTGGCAAAGAAACTGAGCAAAAGGTGGAGAATATAAAGTGGAGGAATCAAGAGAAAAGTGAGAGCAGGTGAGAGATAATGAGTGGCTATCGAGTGGAGGACGAACACAAAAATAAAGAAGAGAGAAAGAGTCCATGTTTTTTTTATTACGTGCATTTCTTGGATGTATCACTAGAGGGCAGTGTAAACTCGCTTGTGACCTGAAATATCACTGTCCTCATAATATCTGTGTGATTTCAAGAAGAAACCCCCTGATGATGAGTGTGATGAGATTTAACCCTGAGCGATCAAACAGTTAATGCCCAACCCAAGACTAAACAATTTCCAAGTTTTTTTTTTTGGGACACGCACCATGGTAATTCCTCTGTACTATAGTCTAGTACAGTACCATGATATTACCATGTGATATTACGTATAGTCTCCCACAATACTTTCGTTGTAAGGGTAAAAAAGTCCTGATGTAAAGACTCAGCAAACATAGTTTTACTGTAAGCAACACCTGTTGCAAAAAAGAAACTCAATCTCCCACTAAGTAAAACCCAGGAAGGGAAAGTTTTGTCAGATAAAAAAGGGGAATGGAAAAAAAGCGTGCATCCCAAGTACAGTTTACACTCAAACAACAAACAAATAAACATGTGAACTTTTGTGGTACATATGCTGCAATATTACCAATACTCTTAAAAGCTATGTCATAACTATATTTGACTTCAGTGTAAAGTACACTTTTGTGTTCACAGGTCCTGGTGGGGTTAACCCCTATGGCTATGGTAAATATTATTAGTCCATCATTAAGGACAAAAACAAATTAAAGACTTACCAAAGTCATGCTGAATGTTTCTTCCTCCTGCTGTTTTAGGCCCGTTTTATGGCAGCACTGGGCCATCTGGAATCGGAACCGGTGTGTTACCTGGAGCCAAACCTCTGAAAGCCCCTGGTAAGATTGACGTTTCTAAGTACCTTTGCTGCAGATTTCTCAGGGAACAATAACCAACTTTACATGCACACAGATATTCAGCTATTGGAATCATTTGGTCAACATGTTTAACTGACTGCCATAAGTAGCATTTGCCTGCTGTGTTAATTGTAAACACCTTAAAGTCCCCCTGTGGTCAATCATTTTATCCCTTAAAACTCATCTCTGATCACCAAAATTGCATATTTAAGCGTTTTTTCCTTGAAAAAAAAATCTTCATGTCTTAAAATAGCTTGAATGTAACTCGACACCCTTGCCTCATTTAGTATACGAGGTTCTATGAATATGCAAATGAGCCCCGCCTCCACTCACTCACTCAGCTCAGAGATCCACTGGTTGACGATCACACGTTGATCTGATTGGTTACAAGGTCGTTTGTGACGTCAGAAACACCAGCGATTTCAAACCGTGTTTTTGAGACAGTCTTTAGTTCACTGCAGTTTTAAGCAGAAAATACTCAGCAATGCTGTCGACTTATGAATTTACACATGGTTTGTCTTAAAGCGTATTAAAAACACCACATAGACATATAAACAACATTAAAAGCTGGATTTTCACCACAGGGGGACTTTAAGAATTCATAAGATCCATAGTATTAAAATGTGAATGTAAACATGTGAAAATGCTCATCGCCATATAGAGGAATATCTGCTGCACATGTAAATATATTATATTTTGGAATAATATCTTGACGTCAACCTTATTTGGAAAATCATGTCCATGCAAGTATAGAAGAGTTCTCCAATCATAATCTTTGCTTTCCTGTAGCTCAAACAGTAGAGCGTTGGCGCTTGCAACGCCAAGGTCATGGGTTTCGATTCCCAGGGAAAGCAAGAACTGATAAGAATGTAAATGTGTTCCTTGAAATGCAATATAAGTCGCTTTGGATAAAAGCGTCTGCCAAATGCATAAATGTAAATGAATCTCACTGTATGCCACTATGCAGACTTGACACTGTGTGTGTGTTTGGTCCAGGTGTTGGAGGAGCAGGAGGTGTTCCTGGACTCATACCTGGAGCAGGTGAGCTGTCATGCAAATCCACATTACTTGATACCTGATCACTGTTGGTCATGGGTTCCCAGGGAATATGTGAACCTATAAAATGCATGTTTTCAGTGTAAGTCACTTTGGATAAAAAAATGTATGCCAAACGCATTAACAGCTGTGAGTCAAATGGTTTTGGAAGGGTCTGAGTTTTTTTACACTTTTTTTGTTGTTGTTGATGGTATATCCCTCCGTAGACTTCTGTACAGAAGATGTGCAGATAGTTAGTGACAGTAGGAAGCAGATCATCTTTCCACATGTGCCAGATGTGGGCCAGATCTGGGCCGTCACAATGTTGCTATGTGGGTTGGACATGATGTCTTACACAAAGGTGTCAGAGTTAAGAGTATGTCACCATATCCTGGATCAATTACTGAAGAGCATTAGAGAGACGACAAGACCCTGTTGTAGTGCCCAAATCTCTATGACTGAGCAGTTATTGAGATGTGGTCTGTCGTCAAGCACGATCCCCAAGTTCCTGGCTGGCCTGCATGGCATTTTCATTCATGTAGTGTTAAAATGACGGGCTGGCTTGGAAGACAAGGAGCTGTCTTTGCTAGATGGTGTTCTTTCATCCAGGCTGAAATGTCTACTAGGTAAGCCTAGATCTGTGCAGCCACACTAGGATTGTCAGACTGGGACGATAAGATGAGCTGCATGTCATCGCTGTAGGAAAATAGGTCTCTGGGATGTTGTGTATATCAGGAATAGGAGGGGGCCAAGCATCGAACCCTGAAGTACCCCAGTCCCAATGGATAGTCAATGTAATTTAGACTTCCCTTCAAGATACCACAAAGGATCTACTTGTGAGGCAGGACTCAAAGCAGAAGAGTGTAGCTCCTGTGATGCAGAGTATCGAGAGGATAGGTAGGATTGTCCTGTTTTTTTTTTTTTTTTTTTTTAAGATTTAAACATTTTCACCATAATTATTTTAAATTGCAAATGTGACATTTTACATTAAGATTCAGCAAATCACACAGTACCAAAATATCTCGTACAACAGTGCAGTGACTGCTTTGGTAGCAAACCAATGGTATATTTGTTTCCTCGTAATCTGAACACCAGACAGAAAGTGTACGAATAATGTAGGAAATTACATCAGTTGTGATGTCCTCCACACGTAGAGCCTTGATTCTGTAATGTGACAAACACTGCCAGTGCCAATTTCTCTCAAAATAGTGAACACACACTTGAAATAGCTTTCCTTGTGTTATTGGACTGTTGTTAAAGACATTGAGATCATCTTGTTGCAGGTGGAGGGTATCCAGCAGGTGCTGGATTGGGAGCTGGTGGTGTTGGAACTGGAGCTAAACCCCCTAAACCAGGTACAGTAGCAAAATGAACTATACTCAAACATATCCATGTTCCACGACATGGCTCCACACCATAATGCCACAGTGTATTTCAAAAGCATTGCCAAGTTCATTTTCAGAGATTTTCTCCAAGAACAAATGTACTCCCCGTGGCTATAGATGTATCAGTTAACTGCAAATTTTCTCCACTGGGGAATTGTAGAGGATATAAGGAAGTTATACTGAGTTTTCATTCTCTAAATTGTGTGCGCTAAGATTGTGTTGAGTATATTTACCATGTTATTCCATTAACAGGCTACGGCTCTTTGGGTACAGGATATGCACAGCCAGGTAAGGCCCAGCATTAATGGTACAAAGCATGATTGAGGAGAATAGTTATATTTTAAATCAACACAAACCAGTGCTTGAAGTGGACCTGTACGCACCACACTGCCAATTACATGCTATTCTGTTAACAATACCAGCAAGGATTTTCCAGCACCAGCTGGTCTTATGACATGTCGGTTCTCTTTTGATACCAGAATCCTCCCGTCCTCCTCATTACACATATACACACACACACACACTTCTGTATTCACTCTCTCTCTCGTACACACACACACACACACACACACACACACTGCAGGCTGATGCTGGGATCATGGATTTGTCTGCATTAATCCTGTGAGCCCTCGTGTGATTTGGTGTCACTGTGTTCCTTCTAGCACCATTCTTTCAGAACATGTTCCCAAATTTGCTTCTCTGATTATGCAAAGACACAGCATCGAGCAAACCCGGCAAAAGCCATCTGTCAAGAATACTTGCTGTAGAGAAGAGTCGCAACAAAACTTCTCTGATGTTTCTCCTGAGAAAATGACTAAAATACTCTCACAGTTTCAGAAGAGATCTCAATCTTTGTTTACATTTGCCAAGTCTTTATACAAGATTACAAATTAAAATCTTAATCTATATTTATCCCACCCTTTTGATAAATACTGTGTCTTAGATAAACTGAGTTGCAGAACAAAATCTTTGAATCTTTCCTTCCTACAGGTGGTGCAGTTCCAGGAGGATATGGAGGATATCCACAAGCATATCCAGGTAGCTTTTTATAGAGATAATCCCTGGCTAAATTCATACTGCGTCTCCATGTGGAACTCAACCCCTCTGTTATTGAGTACATCTCTCGTTTAGAGGGCCATCTCGATGGAAATATGCACATTTATTAAAGTACTAGGCTGTCTTTAGCTCCATTCGACTAAATAGTGTGCTGCATTTAACACAGGATCAGCACCGGTGTCACAGATCAGAGACAGGCAGGACAGGAGCAGAACCTACAGTGGTTCGGTCCTTGAATGAGGTTTATTATAAACTGTTCAATCACAGCTCTGTTCATGATAACCGTAATCATTTTAACACTCGGAATTATTTTGGTAATAATAGAGAACATTCACTGCTGTTCTGACACAGGAATGGGATACACTACATTGCAGGCAGAGGGGTAACAGAAAGAAAGCCCGGACATTTACACTAGTTTCTCGAGAGTAGTAGACCAGGATTTCTATGATCCTTCACTTCGGAAGTCTGGAAAAATACCATACATTTAGAATTGGTTTCTAGTAATTACAAGGTAAACACAGTTTGAAGGGTCTAGATTTTTCCTCTCATGTTGGGTTTTCATTATTTTAGACTTACTAACATGTCAAATTATATATAAAGAAAGCAAAACAACTGTTATGTATAATCTAACCTTGTTTCAAGCAAAGGAAACATGTGATAGATGCAGTTCCCACCAAACGTTAGTTGATCATGTTAGTAGACTTGTAGTCGAGACCGCCTAAACCGAGACCAAGACACTACCAAGACCAGATGGTATCGAGACCAAGACAAGACCAAGACCAAGACCAAGACAGACCAAGTCGAGACCGAGACCAAGTCGAGACCGGAGGGGAAAAAAACATTAGTGTTGAAGCTAAGCAATAACTTGTCAAATGTTGTTTTGCATTTGCCTGCCTATCTCTGCTGATTTCGAAGTCTCCAAATGAACCATTCTGCAACTTTTAAATACATAATTATATTTTTTTAAACGAAATTATAGGCTTAAGTGCAGGATCCGAAAGTTGGTCGTTTTTGTCGCTATGGTTACACACACACACACACACCGTTGGCGGTGCGCTCAAAGTCATCTGTCAGTTGTGCAGTTACCCAAAATCTCCTGAATGAAGGTAAAACCCATCATATCACTGATATGTGTTTTACTAAATATTAATATATCAAAAACTGTACATGATATGTGTTTTTTAAATCAAGTGATCAAAGTGCTCGTTGCCGCTGCGATCAGTGGCGCGGATACAGTGTTTTCTCGCGTGGCTCGCGCGCACCGCACTGTCTTCACTCGGACGCGCGCTTCAATACGTTGCGGATTTCGTCGTGGATATTGTAGTATTGTATTGCTCAATCCCCTGACCACTATGTCGGTCTGAGACAGCGAGACCTAGACAAGACCGGGAGGTCCGAGACCAAGACAAGACCGAGACCAAAGACCGTCAAGGCCATGACAAGACCGAGACCACGTAAAAGTGGTCTCGAGACATACATCACTACATGTTAGTAGTCAAAGTGTGTTTGGACACCTGAGGACAGCTTACTTAATACATCTACTGAATTCACCAAAACACAGATGATTCAAACAAAAATGATGAAGAAAAGTGAAGTTCGTTCTGTGAGACGTACAGTGCAGAAACAAAGACTTGCTGTAATATTTTAACATTTAGACATTTTTAAGTATATCTTTACATCTCAGTACTTATAGGTATGCTTGTCAGTACCTGATACTTGATACCATAAATTAAACAAGGTAGCACTTTATTTTACAGTCCTCTTCCCCATGTACATACTGTGTACTTAGTAATTACAATAAGTGGGTAATAACTTTACTAGCCCTTAACCCAACCCATGTAGTTACCTTATATTACCCAGTACTTTCTTGGGTAAGTGCAAGTACTGTAAAATAAAGTGCAACCTTAAACAGTATATCCTGACAGATAATAAACTAAAAAGAGCCATTGTTCATTACGGAAGGACATGTAGACATTGAGCCATTGAAATCTGCTTGCTATGAAAAGTGTGGGTTGAAGTGCAAATATCATGCAAAGCGTATTTGCATTTTGACCATAATGTCAGTCTCAGGGCCTGCTAATTCTCACGCTCAAGCTGCTGTCATACGACACGCTATTACGTGTGAGTCATTATATAATCACAACGTGGAGATGCTCGGTGGGTTTATTATTATTTCCATCCAGATGCTCTTGGTCTCAGCTGGTCATAAATCTCCAGCTGGAACAAACAGTAATCCTGACACTCTTCTTATGGCTGACTCACCGTTCCTGTATGCATCTATCTCACACCGTTATTCTTCATTTAGAGACAATGACACTCAATCCCTCATGGGGTTTGAACGGCTCATAATAATGTAATGATTTCTTGTGTTTTAGGAGGATATGGAGCAGGACTGTCACCACAACAAGGTACAAGCTCTTCCAAACCCCAAAGACATGCACCAGAGGTTACAGTTGTATGAGCTCTAGTTATTGGACCTTACCTCAAAACCAGGGGTTTCCAATCCTGCTCGTGCAGAGTTCAGCTTTGGCTTGCCTCAACACCCCTGCCTGCACTTTCTAGCTGGTTCAGGTGTGTTTAATTGGGTTGGAGCTGAACTATGCAGGCCAGCGGCCCTCCAGGAGCAGGACTGGACACCCTGTTCTAAACTATATAGATACAATACATTAGGATCTTCAAGCTGTCAATTCCCATACATTGAAAGTAAAGCAAGTGGTCCATACAACTCATGCACTATATTCCAAGCCTTCTGAACTCATACAAGAGCTTTGTACATTCAGTTTAAAAGCTTATCACGCTAGCTTTGATGTCAGTGTATTTTATAAGAAAATGACAATATGGGCTTAAATTGGAGTTTAGAGATCATGTGCGAAAAGGAGCTTTTGATAAATTGTAATGTTACCGCTAAATTACAGTCTTGATGCTATAGTTTGTGGGGGGAACACAGCATAAAATGACCTTGGACTTTTTTTCCACAGCCAAAGCAGCCAAATACGGAGGTGGACTGACGGGATTCCTGGGAGGAGGTTATCGAGGTACGTCAGAATGATCCGAGTCTGCAGTCAACTGATGAGACAGATTTAATCCCTGCCGCCGCATAATCACTGATTTCTCATAATCACTGCTCTCATTTCTGATGTCCTCAACTAAACGTTCTGATCCTAAATCACACCAAACACTGGCCTACTTCTTCATAAGTTTGGATTTACATGATTCAGCGAACATACGCGAGTTTATAAAGCAGAGCCACATTGGTTGACGTCATAAAGAAGTCGAGATGCTGGACGAGGATCATTCCAAACACACATTCAGTTCTGACCCCATTCAGACTTGAAATATCCAGATTTCTGATGGATAAAAAGTCCGAATTTAGCCTGGGAAAACCCAGACAACTTCCGGCAAATTTAGATTCGCTCTGAAAGTTAGTCTGGCAAAGGGCTCATTCAAGCCCATTTCCAATCCGCTGAAATCGAGGCACCAATCAGAAGCGTTGGGGCGGGCTTTACACGATGACGACAGCGCTGGGATTTTGAAGCAGATTTTGTAGCCTACATTACAAAGATGGATGCCGCCGTCGAACATCACTCGTTCGAATCAGCTATGGCGTCTGTTTAAAGCGATTTGAACGTTTCCTTTTTGTTAAAAACCGAGCAAAGAACAACACTCGGAGATGTTTCTCCGCCGCTCTACATACGTCATCTCCTTCATCGCTCTGATTGGGTTTAGGTCTATCCGCGACGCCCGTTGGTGACGCTCCTCTGGAAATGATTTGTCTATGACGCTTTGCCAGACCATAACTCAGTTACAACTGAGAATGGTCTGGTTTTAACCAGGCTAAGTCCCATTCAAAATGTTGGTAACACATTACAATAAGGTTGTTACGGTTAGGCAGGGACAAAGAGAAGCCAGGATCTAATCCAAACAGGTAAGGAAGATGACAATCCAAAGATAAGAACATAAACGCAACGGGTGTGTGTAAAGAGGAAGGACAACCGAAAAACAGGTGTAACAAGAGACTAACAAGAAACAGGTGTGAGTAATCAATCACTATGGAAACGAACAAGGCATCTATGCAAACAAAGAAAAACTGCAACTAAACAAAGGGAGTGAAACAGCAGGACAACAGGAACAGAAAGTATACCTCAAAATGAAAGTTCGTAAACACAAAACAGAGGAAATTGTGTCAAAGGTACAATTAGAAATACATTTGTTACATCAATCTTTGTTAATGTTAATACAAATACAGCTGTTGATTGATAGATCTTGGAAATCAACAAATGGAACCATATTGTAAAGTGTTACCAAATCTTGTTTCAGCCACAAAGCATCTTGTCGTTTCACGTTTCAAGGGTTAGAAATCCTCGTGTCGTGTCTTCGGAACCCAAACGAAGTCATTTTCTAGTATTTGATGTACGCTGAGGTTTTGTCTCACGTGTGGCGTTGTTCTGCAGGTGGAGCGGGCTGCCAAGGAAAATACTGCGGGAGGAGAAGAAAGTAAACGATCTCTTGAGATGTGAAGTGACCTCAAGAAACATGGTGCTACTGCATGCTCTAGAATGTACTTTTGATACTCAAACAAACAGTCCCATCATGCACAAGTGTTATGTTTTGTTTTGATAGTAAATATTTGTAACAAATCCAAATCCAGATCCATAAAACGTCTAGTGTTTTGTGGCATTAATTCCAGTCCTGATTGTTTATGGCACATTCCATCATGTTACTGTTTCCGGTTGTAGGGTTGCATATGTAACCGGGTTCATTAGCTGCCAATGCTTTTGTGTTGTGTAACTGTAAAGGTTTTAAGCGCCGACCTCTTCGTTTTGGAGCTCTGACACCACCGGAAGCTCTTTTGTGCAGTTACAGTCACGATCTAGCTCTCTAGACTCTTAAAGTAAGGGCATTTCTTGGCAATCTTGAGCGCACAAGGTTTTTTAACGTCCCTGCCGTGAAAGCATTGAGCTCCAGGAGTCCTGTCATACTGCTGATTAAACTCTGGGTTGAAATACTTCACATCTGGCCGTGCTTCAGCTTAGCAGTTTGCTTGTTATTTTTGACCCTTCACCAGCTTTCTGTGCAGATGAGCCTTACAATTACAGTCCTTTATGGGTAAATGCCCTCCAAAAAAAGAGGCTATATTTTGCATAAAGAAATCTAAGCCTATTTTTAGGAGCATTTTTTTTCCACCAAAAATCTTTTTATAGTAATGCGTTTTACTTCTGAGGGGTTTCTTTTGGAATTATTTGTAAGCATTATTAATTATTATGCTCAATGGTAATGATATACTCATTACTGTAATACAAAGATGTTCTTGACATGTTTTGTGAGATTCACCCCTCGATGATTTAGGCTTTCATGAAGCATTAGTGCGTGTCTTTTGATTTGAGACACTCCACCCATGTGTTTTTTATAAGTAGGCCATAAAATGCGTGCGGATGCATTTAAATACATTATGCTACGAGAGCTTTGTGGATGTCTGAGCGAACGTCAACTAACAGACCCCTGACACCGACACGCGTGCGGCTCGATCGCAACATTCAGTCCTGCACACTGTGTGAAGTATGACGAGCAGAAGTGAACGACGACTTGTGTCTAATATCAATCACCTTGTGGAAATCTATTTTGGTATCTGTCTGGTGAAGGGAACAAATTGAAAGTAAACGTGTAAAATAGTAATCATTATGTACATTATGTATGTTTAAACCTGGAAGATTAACAGATGTGCTTATGTTTTTCCCTGGACCCGGGGACTACAGGTGCTTCCATCATTTGACCAAGAATGTGTTTCTTTAATCATTGTGTATTCACATAGAATTAGTTTATTATATACATATAAAATATACATAAATCATATGCTTACAGTAGGTTGGATCATTATAAACAGGTTACTTTGCCTTATGTTGTTTGTTTTGTACCATTTGAACTTGACATGTTGACCAATTATCAAGTTTGTACACATATGACAATAATTTTTTTTGTTTTTTGCTTTAAATAGCTTGTGCATTGTAGTCACTATGGAACTTGCAAAACTGTGTGTGATATTTTAAGATGTGAGTGTATGTGTGTGTGTGTAGGTTATGTACGTAAATCCCCCCAAAGTGTGTGTGTGTGTGTGTGTGTGTGTGTGTGTGTGTGTGTGTGTGTGTGTGTTTGTGTGTGTGCGTGTCCGTCCCAAAAGCCTCACTAGCCAATGTATTATCAAACATATAATGTGTCAATTTTTGCTATATTTGGTTGATACTGTTTTTCGATCCATCTGGAGAGACACTTTATCATGTATTAATATACCTGGTGCTGTATTTGACCTGCCTGTGAGCCCTACCAGGTCTTCTCTATTGTGCCGTAGGATTTCCATCTTATTTAAATAAAGGGGCGGGGCTATTGCACTTTTTCCACAACCTATATTCTGACTAGTTCCCGGAAATCCCGGCCTTTTACCTGCTCTAGTGAAAAATGAAATAAAATATTTTAAATAAAAAAACAAGAGTCTCTTGGGTTGCATAATTGTGTCAAATGATAAATGCTTTTCTTTTTCTTTTTTCGAAGCATACTAAAGCAATGAGCCCCAAGAAGCCGTGGCTTACAGTGCTTTTAGGACAACTAAGGGATGTCACATAAACACACAGCAACAGTAATACTGATGTAATGAGGTCACAGGTGTGTGTTTATAGAGTATTTTACAACAGTGTCGAATGCGACTCAGCCAATATAATCCAGAGCTGAAAGTATCCATTTTATAAAGCAATATACAACTTCATTTTTTGAAGTCCCCCTTTAGTGAAAATCCAGTGTTTTCCCTATGTGGTGTTTTTAATATGCTTTAAGACAAACCATTTGTAAATTCATAAGTCGACAGCATTGCTGAGTATTTTCTGCTTAAAACTGCAGTGAACCAAAGACAGTCTCAAAAACACGGTTTGAAATCGCTGGTGTTTCTGACGTCACAAACGACCTTGTAACCAATCAGATCAACGTGTGATCGTCAACCAGTGGATCTCTGAGCTGAGTGAGTGAGTGGAGGCGGGGCTCATTTGCATATTCATAGAACCGCGTATACTAAATGAGGCAAGGGTGTCGAGTTACATTCAAGCTATTATAAGACATGAAGAAATTTTATTCAAGGAAAAAACGTTTAAATATGTTATTTTGGTGATCAAAGATGAGTTAAATGATACAATTATTGACCACAGGGGGACTTTAAGTTATAAAAGATTCAACTAACTTTTTAAGTCAGTTTAATGTTCAGTTTAATGACGTTACATTAATTTTTTTTTTTTATTGTATTGATTACATAAACATTTGCTGTGTTCTTTCTATTAAGTGTATGAACCCCCAAGGCTGTCTTGTTATAATATAACATTTTATAAAATAAAAATTGGTTACACTTTATTTTAAAGTGCCATTGTTAGAGTGTAATTATACAAATAAGTACTGGGTAATATTAATTGACAACATGTACTTATATAATTAGTGTTAGGGTCAGTTGCTTTTAAATGCATAATCTATTATGCATGCATTGCAAGATTTGTAACAGAGACACTTTAAAAGAAAGTGTTACCTAAACAAAATAATCATTTTTAATATAGCCTATAGGCTACGTATTAATAAAACAAAATAGCCATGGTCATTATTGTCCTTGAAATGATTTTAAGTTATTTTATCGAAGTATGATATGACTATCACTATGACCTCATTCCAGGGCGATTGTGAACGCGCATGCGCAGACAACTCCTATTATTTTCCAGGGATAGTGTTCAGTTGGCCCGTTCTCCCGGAATCCTACTATGGCGAAGGCTGTGTTCTGTGTGTGTGGGTGTGTGTGTGTATGTGTGAAGTTACTCGGGAAGCGCCCATGCTCGTCGTCAACGTCCCACAACGCGCCAGCGGACTCACGCACACTTAAAGCTTCCAGCTAATCAGACAGTAGCGTAACGCGTGCGTCTGTAATATTCATGAGGCGCGCGCCTTTCCCTTAGTATGTTGGACTGGCGGCAGTCTGGCAGCAGCTGGCCACATTTCTCCAGTGATTCTGATCGCAGAGGGAGTTTCTGTTGCGGTCCGAGGCTTGAATGAGGTTGATGCTGCTCTGTTGCACCTGGAAGGACGAACGCATGGGAGAGGAGGAAGGTTAGTGTGCCTGTGTGTGTGTCATGATAATACAGAGTGCGCATCTTCTTCTTCAGCAGAGCTCGTGCGGGTGCTGATGCTGCCTCCGCCTGCACGCGCACAACAACCAGCTTCTCCATTCCACTCAATCCGCCACTAACGGTCCGCTTCAACGTGTGTGCTAGAACTAACTATCGAGAAAAACACTCACACACTTGCGTTCTGGTGAGGGTTTTCCCGCACTGTTCTGCTGCAGCTGCAACACACACAACACACACACACACACACACACACACACTCACACTCACTCACTCTCTCTCTCGTGTTCATTTCTTTCTCACTTACTTACAGAAGTTGTTTGATTTAAAGAACCAAGACCAGGGTTTGTTGATATTGATACACAAACATACCAATATCATGTTTGATATTAATATTATGTTTTGTAGATATGTACCATGGGTTTTAGCACATAAATCCTGCAGGGTTCCCAGTGACCTATTGAGATTTCCAGGTAAAAACATCATTAGTCTGTCCGTCGAGTGTCTTAATGAAGACACCTGGACACTAAACTATAACTATTAACATTTTGTTTCTACCTGAAATTATTTCTGTGAAATCCCATTTAAAACTATCTGGTGATTTGTGTAAAATTATTATTATTTGTAATATGAGGTGAGAGTTAATGAAAAAGTTGTGTAAACGCATCAGCCAACAATGTGGGAATGTTCCATCATCATGATACGGTGAAACAGTGATACTACAGTACTTTAAAATGTACTTCAGAATCAAAACTCATTTTCATGCTATTCCGAAGGACATCTAAAATTACATTGTTACGAAATGATATTTCCAAAATGTCATGGAAGTACAATAACAGTATTTTTAGTTACATTTTGCATACATGTTATTCTGGTAAATGATTCATCTGCATCTGGTCCTCATGTGAGGGTGTGTGTGTGTGTGTGTGTGTGTGTGTGTGTGTGTGTGTGTGTGTGTGTGTGTGTGTGTGTGTGTGATGGAGTGAATGAGGTTTGGTCTGTCAGACGCCTCATGTCCGTCACTGATGAAGGAAGTCATCGACTCACTGTCTGTCACACTCAACACACACACCGGTTTAGACACAAGTAATACTCATGCAAAGATAAAAAGACTGACAAAAATGAGTACTTTAAAGACCGTCTGCTCAAGAGAACTCATCAGTTGACCTGAACGCCAGCTCTTCCTTCTACTGACCTGTCCAGAAACAATATTATTAATATTTCAATGTTCAATATTAGAGACGCTAAAGAATAGAGAGTTGGTCAGGGAATCCTCACAGCCTTTCTCACATCGGATCACGTTCCCTGTGAATGAACTACACTGAAGCTTCATTTGTGAAATGGGACACAAAATATTCACCACATCATATCCTGTTCCTGTGGAAATGCGATCATTCAGTAACAAAATTATAAAGCAATTCCGATAACATTTTATTTTATAGTGTTCCTGTTACACATCTTACTTACTAAAGTAATAACTTAAAATTATGCATAATTACTAATACCTTACCCTAACCCTAATATTATAGTAAGTACATGTTGTTAATTGATATTACTCAGTACTTTTTTGTGTAATTACACTGTAACAAAGGCACCTTAAAATAAAGTGTAACCGCAAATGCATAAAAATGCCGTGGCCGTCCTCACTTCAAATACCCCATGCAGTATGTGTGCGGTTTGTTATTAGCGTGGTCTGTCAGTTCTGCTAAACACGTCTAGTGTCCCACTCACTTTGCAGTGAGGTTGGTCTGCTGACACCTTGAGCTGATCTGCGTTTGTAAAAATGGAAACACAATGGATTTTTATGTTGATGTATTTAGTATGAATAATTTATGAATGATTGATTGGTCAGTCAGAGAGGTCATGTGTTTCAAATGTTTTCACAGTCTGCCACACATTTGGCTGCCGATCATCACTCAGCTGCATGATGTATTTATAATGTGTGCCGTAATAATAACCGCGAGGTTTAATGATGAAGGGTGTCGTGCCAATGATAACTACACAATGACAATGGGCAAGTAGTGGATTTCGGACGCAGGGAAATGCTTGTATCGCAGCGTGAAGCGCTGAATCACTCACACTGTTTGTGAAATTACGTCTCACAGAACGTTGTTAAATTACTGATTTGATCTGATAATCTGTGTGGATTTATTTACTCATTCAACCTGCATGCTATATTGAATAAATGTTTCCGTGAGTTTACCGCAATATAAGTGAGGAATAGGGTTGGGAATCGAAAATCGATTCCACTTCTGGAATTTAGGCTAATGCCTTTTTACAAAGTCTTGATGTTGTTTTTAAGCTCGACTAGTACAGGTTTCACGCTTGAATGTTCAAAAACACATTATTCTCCATTGTTGCAGCTCCTCTCTTCCCAGTCTGTCAGTAACGCTCTGTTTAGTTCCTGTCTCGATGAAGCTCCTCCTCCTGAAAAGCACACTGCGCTCTGATTGGTCGGCTGGATCAGTGTGTTGTGATTGGTCAGTGTGTTTGGGAAATGTCCCGGCCCTCACCATAACCACCAGTTTCAACACACTACTAACTAACTCAACCAGGCCCCGCGCCTTTATTCTGCGTATGGATTATTATAATGAGGAATATTGTGACGTGTTCGATCTCGGAAGAAACTCAAGACTACAATGGAGGCGTTTCAGGAGTTCAGAAACACTGACACTGATATAGAGAATAACTCCCGCTGGAGGGACTTTCAACTTTACAGAGCTTTTTAATTATTAAACAGCAACATTACACACTAAAGAAACACACACATGGAAAAAAGCATAATAGGTCCTCTGTAATCTATATGAGATATTTAGCTGCAGAGTAAATATATTTCATTTATTATTCAAGGTGCACATTTGTAAAAATATTTTGAGACATATTTCAGCATTCTTTTCACATGAACTAATTATTGTTTTAATTAACATAGCCCTAAGAAGCAGATTTTCTTTGACTTCCCCTATGAATAAAGCTGTGCATGTAGATGTTGGTGGCAGAAGCACAATAAGCAGAACGAGGAAACAGTCCTTTGACTTCCCTTAGTGGAAAAGAGAAACAAGTCATGTTTTTATTAGGGAAAGACGGATGTTCAGGCTAATTCATCCTTTGATATCTGACCATTTCTAGATAATCAGCATCGGTTTAACAAACGCATCGTTCCGGATCATGAACATTTTCTGTGTTCAAAAAGAATTCTATTTTGCACAGAGAATAAAAACAGTCTCTTCTAAGAGCTTTTTCATTATGGCATTACTTGATGACGATGTTAGTGAATGTGTGTCTGGTTGTGTTTGTGTTGTTCAGCCGGAGGGAGGTTGCCGGAGTGTGCGGGATGCAGTCGGCACATCTATGATGATCAGTACCTACAGGCCCTCAACACAGACTGGCACACGCTGTGTTTCAGGTAAGAGCCAATCAGAGCTCGCCGTGAGCACCAATGACAGCTCAACATCTGTGCATCCTATCCTGTCTGTTCAGTAAACATGCAAATCTCACTTTAAGAACAGATGTTTTTCAAATCGTATCAGCCCTTGGAGCTTGCCTAGTCCTTCACTGCTGGGGAGTTTGCAACTGTTGTGAATATTCGGGAATGTTTTATTTTTTAAATAGAGATCTCGATTCTCCCACGATTCTGAATAATAAACACAATATCATGTCATTTGTCACTAGAGGGTCTGACAAAGTGATAATTGCTGCAGATTATATAAACAAAAAAATGAATGAATGATTCAATGACTCCCTCAAAGACTTCACTTGTTTCATTACTGGATGAATCAGCATTTCTGAACGAATTTATTGAATGAATGATTCAATGACAAATACATTTTATTAACAGTCGCCTGTAGTATTACCAGTCAATTAATACAATCTTTATTTGAAGCATTAAGTTACTTTCACATCACTGTTCCCAGGGGTTAAATTGGGATTTATTATGTGGGGGGGCTCTCTCCCTAGGGGGGTCCGGGGGTATGCGCCCGCCCCCCACCCCCCCCTGATTATTTTTTGTTGAAAAATAAACCATTAAATGGCACTTTCTGGAGAGTTTTGTGCAAAGAAATGGAGAAATTGAGTCTTACATGATACGTGAAAAACTGCAAGGTTAAGAGCATATACTTTGCATGGTTGTAGTATCAACAGGACATTTAGCATTTACTGTTAATCAGTCATCAATCTATCCTTGTGGAAAGGTTGCTTGGTAGCTAAAAGTAGGTCTAGCAAGTCTTATATTTCTGTAATTCACACAGATATACACAAGATACACAAATATGCTGACTGAATAGATTGCTAGTTTATTTTGAGTAGCCAGCTAGCAGTTATCTTGGCAGTTTGCTGATAATCCGGTGTCTGAAGTAAAATGCTAAAATCATCTCCTGAGAAAAATCACATGGCAAACCTAGTCTTGGTTATTTAATTTTGATTTAGTTTTATTTTCCTTACCTTTTCATTCAAGGCCAGAGCACTTTTTGTACATTTCTAGAACTTTTGCGCGCTTCCACATCCCGCGCAACTACGGATCTCTCAGGAACATTCATTATTGCTGCGTACATTTATCCGTGTCACCTAGATGCGCATGCGCGAGCGGTGCGCGATCATGGTCGACTGATAACGAGATTAAGCAGCTGAACAAGAATATGGTCGTGTTCCGATTGTTCTCATCTCAGCTCCGCTGAGACAAAATAGACATGGCATTTCAAAAGTCTTTCATTTATTGTCAGAAATATGTTTTCAAAAGCATCACTTTCATCAAATTTTATGTGACAATTTCCAGCTGACTGCAAACTGGCACATCATTCAGGACACAAACGACCAGGCTTATGTGCCGGGCCTGAGCCCCGGAGAGCCCCGGCCCAATTTAACCCCTGACTGTTCCTATTCGAACTATACACTTCTATCGCAGTACTTCTGTTATAATTTGAATTATTTTAAGACAGAAGTAATGATACTGTGTGGTTCAAACTGTTACTACTACTTACACATGACAACTGCTTCTCTCTTGGTCAGAACACACGGTTTACCCCCGGACCCCCCTAGGGAGAGAGCCCCCCCACATAATAAATCCCAATTTAACCCCTGGTTATGGTTATATGGGCATGGTTAGGTTATGGTTATTTGGGAATGGTTAGGTTAAGGTTATTAGGGAATGGTTAGGTTATGGTTATATGGGAATGGTTAGGTTATGGTTATATGGGCATGGTTAGGTTATGGTTATTTGGGAATGGTTAGGTTAAGGTTATTTGGGAATGGTTAGGTTAAGGTTATTAGGGAATGGTTAGGTTATGGTTATATGGGAATGGTTAGGTTATAGTTATATGGGAATGGTTAGGTTATGGTTATAAGGGAATGGTTAGGTTATGGTTATATGGGAATGGTTAGGTTATGGTTATATGGGAATGGTTAGGTTATGGTTATAAGGGGAATGGTTAGGTTATGGTTATATGGGAATGGTTAGGTTATGGTAATGGTTAGAGAGCTGCATTTGTAGGTCGTAGACAGCAAGGCTGCTCACAACATTTTGAAACCAAACACATTAATGTGTTATTTTGCTCTGCTTATGTTTTTTTATTAAAACCTTCTTTTGGTAACTTGAAATTTCTGCATCCACATTTCCGAAGAGCGTCAGAAATAAGATGCTTACAGTACAGATACTCAGCTCTTAGTGCTGGAACACGGCTGCTTTTGTCTTTGCTTGCTGAGTTCTCCTCTTGTTTTGAGCCGTTTTCTTTATAAATTGCTTCTTTCCCAATAATCCATTAGGCCACTGTTTGGTCAGCCATGCCGACGGGAGGAATCCTGACAGCTGCACACATTTCACTGCACTCTGGGGATTGCTTTCTTGAGTCAATAACTGGGAAGCTCTTGGTGTTACTTGAGCCCAGGTGTGTGGACGCCACTCTGCAGCTTCTGCTGAAAACATGCTCAGGATAATGAAAGTGATTTGACGTTGCACAGTTCCTCTGAACTACAGCGGAGAAAGCCGCTTCAGCATCAGAGGCAGTGGGGGAAACATGTGAATGCATGAAAGACTCATTGTGTAACTCTGAATAAATGTGTGTGTGTGATCTAGGTGTTTGTTTGTGAACATAAGTGCTTGAGTGAGCAGAGGCGGGGTGAAGTTTGGGGCGATTGTAAGGGTGTTGTGTGCTGATCCGATTAAGAGTTCCTCCTCGCGTCTCTGCTGTAGATGTGACTCGGGTTCCTCCTTCATGTGTGTCTGCGGGAGTTTTCTCCTGTTCTCTGGTCCAGCAAGTGAAAATATAGGGCCTTATGATTTCAGAAAAAACATGAACGTCAGTTTATTTTGTAATTATAAACATAATTTTAATTTTGGATGAATAAATCAGACATAAGGCTGCACATTTAATGTAATGACGATATGGACTGGTGTGTGTGTGTGAATATGTATAATCATAAAATGATTCATGTTATGCATTAACAAGTGCAGTTACAAATAATATTGCATGTTTGTTTATTGGAAATTTGACAGTAAAGCACTGAGTTTGAATTGAGATGCAGATAACTTTTATTAACAACAGTAATGTGCAAAACCCTGATTTTTATAGGAAAAAATTTAATATTCGGCTCTTATTAAATGTAGCATACTGCACATCAAATCAGGAAAACATCTCAGAATCCTCCATTGTAATGAATTATGATTGTACCAAATCCTTGTTGATGTACATAAAGACTTCATCCTACTCTGTAAGATTGTACATTTTACATCCTTGTCTGGACTTTACATTTTAATATTAGAAACAGTACTAATAGTATTAGTTAGATGCCAGATATTCTATATTCTTTTAATTCATGAGTCTAAATAATGTTTTTTTTATAAGAATAGAGATCACAGTTTCCAACGATTCTGAAAACAAAACATTAGACAACCAAACAAAATAATATGTGATTTACTTGAGGTTCTGACAAAATGTTCTATTTAATGTTAAAAATTATTCTATTTATATAAATGTCTGAAATTGTATAAATGAGTCTTTTAAAAATATTTATTAATTTAAATGAATTAATTATGTAAAAATTTTGAAATGACTGAATTAATGAATAATGGTCACTTGTTTCGTCCAGAGTTTTGAAAGAATCTACCGGCATAATGTAACGTATACAATCTTTATGTGAAGCGTAACATAAGTTTCAAAGATCAGTTACTTATTTTGATCGCGTCTGCCGCAACATCAGAGTCTATATCCGGACTATAAACTTTTATCCCAATACTTTCGCTATCATTTAATGTTTGCGACACAGAGATATGGCCTACTGTGTGGTATGAGGAATCAGTCTGGAGCACAAACTCTGCAGGACGGCATCCACCATTTGCAATGCTATGCAAAGTTATTGAATATATGCTCATTACTTGGGCTTCTAGTATTATTGGGCATACTGTACTAAGTGACATGCTGTGGTAATCGAAGCGTTGTTTTAGCCTAATCTGGTTGCATAGAATTTTTTTTTTTTTTTTTGTCTGATTATTGCACATGCTGTGTTAAAGTTAGCTCATGCTTGTGTGTCTTAAGCTTATCTAGATTATTGGTTAACATACTGTGCAAATACACATTACGTTCAGCGCAGAGATCTGTCATTCAACACTAACAACATTGTAGCTTGATGATGATGTAACTCATTGATGAATGAGTGTGTAATCATGGGAGTCGTCATCTTCACCTCCACAACAATGCAAGTCAGTACGACGGGAGCATAAATCATGTTCATGAATGAGGAAGCACACTGTACTTCATAGCTTAGCTGCGCACTGCATCTGACTCAGAGCTACAGGGTGTATGCTTCCCCGACCGGACTACACTAGTTTTAATACTAGTTCTATGGTTATGTGACATGCTTCTTGTATCAGTTGTTGCCGCTAGTCTGAGCTATTGCTGTAGGGTGTATGCTTCCCCTGCCAAACTACACTAGTTTTAGCAATAGTTCTGTGATTATACGACATGCTTGTTGTATCAGTTGTTGCTGCCGCTAAGTGTGTAAGCTTCCCCGAATAGATCCCATACACTGTTAAATTGGCTACAGCAACATGCTTGTTGCAATGTGTCCTTGCTTCAGGGCTCGAATTTCGCCGCGGGATTGCGGGTATTGCGCATAATTCTAATCATTCCCGCAGGTCTCCCATTTATAATACGGGAAATTCCCGCAATCGTAAACCACACAGATTATAAAATCAAATCATTCTTTTAACAACTCTCTGCCAGACGCAATTTCACAAACAGCGTGAGTGTTCAGCGGTGCCGCCATCTTCTATCTCTTCTCTCAAAATCTGTTGTGCAAGGCAAGCATCAGCGCTGCGGCGATAATACACACTCGCGTTCAGGAGTCGGGACATGACGGAATATTCACTTGCACAATCGGGCCAGCAGTGCATCGTGACTGAGGTTTACCATTTGC